AAGCACGAAGGATATCATTCTCTGCTGCTATAGCCCGGTTGATCATTAATACACCATATCTAGGCTCGTCATACGGCAGTCTGTGCTCCTCAAGTTCCGTCTGACTAAGCAGGCTGAGCTGTACGAAACTATGGTCATCAGAGGGAGACTCTTGAAGTTGTTCCTTCTGTTCATCCGGAGTTGCAGTGTTATCTCCGGCCAGCTCTGCATGGTCCTCTTGGATGATACATCTGCCTTCCCAATAATCGATATCCAATCTCTGCCCAGGCTGCACCTCAAAGGATGTGTGTCGGTTGTACTGCCGTCGAGAGGTGTGGTAGAGGAAGACAGTTGTATCTGTTCGATCCCAAGGACTTTCACAGTAGCGCAGAACATCATCGAAGGATAGACGGGCATTGCCTCGAAAGGACATTAGCTGACGATTCTTAGTCATCGCATTAGTCCATTGGACGAGCAAAGGCACACCCCCAAGACTAGGCCAGAGGTCCACAACTGCAGCTCACTTCTCAGGGCAGCTTCTTCTACTGCTGGGACAACAGTGACAACAGAAAGATCATCTTGACGTCCTAGATAATCACGCCAAAGGTCTCGGAGATTCCGGATAAGCTCTTCATCATTATGCCATATACGTCTTGTCAAGTCAATTTTTCTAGCCTCAACATGGATGGCACGTAGTCCATGCGTGACAATGGAGACCGTCGGCCCACCACTATCTCGTGCAAATGCTGCAAAATCGCTCCAGAAAGCAAAGAGGGGGCTATCCAAAGCTAGCCCTCTAAAGTCCACCGAGTTCTTTGCAGTAATGGTAGTTTGCATCATGTTGACCTGATCCCCATACATCCCATCATGAGAATGGCAGGCTGATTCAGGACTCTTCACATAGACCACCAGATATGCTCCATTCTGAGTCCGGACCTCATGTAGGGGTGCGATCACCCACCTTGGCTTCGCCATATCTCTAGCAACGAAATGCTCATTTGGGGCTATTGTCCTTCCGAGAACAAGTTGAACAATATCCCTTAATGTAGAGCCTGGCGCAAATTGCACACTTGCAGTCGTAAACGGCATAGCGTGCATTTCTACGTAAATTGTCAAGAGATGGTCATCCATAGCATCCCGTAGGAGAACAATCGGCATCGACGTTCTCCTTAGTCCTCTTCTAGGAGTAGGGTAGACGAAAAATGCTTTCAAATGACGGTTCCCTAAGCACCTCCATGCTTCCAAAACCTGCTTTGTCAGATGTTGTCCTTCACTGGCTCGGATTTGAACTGACGTTCGAACCGGCGTGCCACTCCAACAATGCAGATATGACTTGATCGTAATGATCAGGTCACCTTGCTGCTCGAAAACACGAAGATAAGCATCTCGGAGCACGTCTGCATCTGATGATGGATATTGTAACTCAGTCTCGACCAAAAAAGAGGATAAAGGCTGTGCATTTTTCCTCCAGATTTGCATAATGCTACTAGCCTCTTCGTTGTCATCCTCAGGGGTTGCAGTGTTATCCCCTTGCATTTGGGTCCAGTCTGATGCATTGCTGAACTGGCTGGAATCATCGCCTGGCCAAGAATCTGAAAGGACAGAGGAGTCTGCCCCAGCAGAGCAGGTCGTTGCCTCACTTGAAGGGGCTGGATCCACTTCAAAAATACGTATGTACGCTCCTTCGAAAATGGGCACAAATGACCAGAAATCATAGACTCGACCATCCATCACAATCCAGCAATTTGTGGTCCACACACATTGGTTATTCGGCATCGTCACTTGGAAGACCTCTTGCACCATCGGCATTCCTCTAGAATACATCAGAAAGGTTCCAACAGTATACTGGTGCGGTGTTCGCACAACAGCCAGGAAACCAATCCAAGCTTCTAACGATACTGGCAAAAGAAGGAATGATGGTCTGCGCGCCAGTTCGAAATCAGGCTGGGGCCTAATCGGCATGATTGTCACTGTAGGCCTAACCTGATAGTCGCGCCAGATCCTTACGATTTGGTCTCTAACTAATTCTCTGCCACTAATCACAGCATCTTTCCTCACATGTGACCATGAATTTCTCCTGTCCCATGTATGCAGCCAGGTGACAACGACCGAAGTGCTTGCCTGAGTGACACCCCAGACATATCCTAGCAATGGGTCAGGAAGGAAGCGGAATTCACTGCGCTGCATGAGGCTTGAGTAGTCAGAGATAGAGGGGTCGCCATACTTGCTTTCCGGCTTGGTCGCAACAGCCGTAGGCACAAAATCTGGCTTGGCAAAATCTTGATCATGCCTAGAATTAGGCAAATCAAACCGGCAAAAAGGAGGTTCTATTGACTGCGCAACCCAAAAATCGGAGACCGAGGGGGACTTGTCCCCCACTTCAGTTCCATCAAAATTGTCAGCAGATTCTCCTAAGCCTTGGCCTTCTTTGCGGTCGTCAAAACCACTGTAGCAGCTAGGTGTCCCACAAGGCAAGGAGGACCACCTAGAACACTCTTCCGACTCAGGGCTCTGGTAGGCCGGGACTGACTCACTCAGACTAGGAGCATGCCAATCAGGAGCCGGATCTATATTGTTAAGGACAGGAATCGCCTGAGAGCAGAGAATGTTCCCAAGGATCAGTAGTCCTCTCATCCGCATTGATGCAGCAGAGCTAGTATTCACGGCCAATCGTCGCTTGCCAACAAAGATAGCAGGCCGTAGCTTGAGATTCTTTTCACAAATTAGTCGTCGACAGCTCACAACTGCAAGGCTGAGAATAATGAAAACATGTGCCCAAAGAAAACCCACAGCAACATCATTTCCAGTCACTCCAGCCATTCCCCAAGGCCTAGACTCGAGAATTGCTCCGTTGCAGAGGGCACTAAGCACAATCATCACTACTATCATCCGAATATTGTCAAGTGTTGGCAACTTGACATGGCATTTCCGATTGTTTCGAAATCCTTCACTCACCAAAAGAAGGGCCCGTGTAATGATCGTCGACCAAATCAAAAAGAAGATCTGTACAGCAACCCCGTGAACAACCCAGTCAGGAAGAAATGCGCCTAGATTTCCAAAACCTAGGCAGCAGGAAGAGATGTCACAGGCATTAGCTACGTTCTTTCTTTGAAAATAGTCAACAAAAGAAGAGAGGCCATAGAAGACCTCATTCAAGGAACCCAAAGTCCCCAAGGAGGATGGCACCCATGCCATTCCAAGGCCAGCGGCTTTAAAGTCTCCACCGACCAGGCCGATGCTTCCCAAACCGTCTAAGGCTAGGTTTGTTCCGCATGATTCAAAACCGAAAAGAAACCACTCATGCTCATGGATGCAGCCTTGAAAATTGGCGCAAAACCCATGATTATACCCAAGCTCAGCCCTCAGGAGTCCAGGCCGTTGAGCTTCCCTGCATTCGGCGACACTCCCGCCGTCGATCTCCTTGATGCCGGAGGGGTCTGATAGGGCGTATTGGCATCCCTTCTCCTCTCTCTCCCCATCTTCCGGAAAGGCAGGACATTGGGAAGTTCCATTCCCTTCTGATTGGCTTCTGCTTGGTTGCTCTCTTCCTTCTGGATCGTCTGGACGAGATGTCCAAATTGTTCTCTGGACTTGTACTGAAGAGGCGCCTTGTCGATCTGGCTCAAAATTGCCGTTTGGCAAGCATCGCTGAGCTGTCCCAACTGTAGCGCCACCTCGTCCGATCCAATGTCTTGCTGCAACCATTCTGCATACTGGTCCTCTTTCTCGGATGGCCGCTCTCTTTTTTCCGATCTGGTACGCTCGTTGTCCTCCGCCGAAACCTCGATGACCCCCGTTGCAGCTAGGCTCATACCGTTTTCTCTTGGCAGGATCGGTTGCTGTGGCGACCCCGGTCGCAAGCCCAAGATCCCTGTTGCTTGCATTGCCCCACATACAGCGCTCAGCTGCTCTGTAAGTTGCATCTGTCTCTTCTCCATCATGGCTGCATAGGTCATGAACTCGCTGAGCTGATGCTTCACCTCCGTGAGTTCTATGTTGGTCGGAGTTCCAGGTTGTTCCATTTCCGCATCGATCTGCTGGCCATTCTTCTCTGCCTCCTTCAACTCTGCTGCAAGCTCGCTCCATAGTACTTGCATGTCGTTGGGCTTCTTGTTTCATGCCAGCATCCATGAACCGCTTCCAGCCTGCAAACCTCTTCTCTTCTTCGAGAATCGAGGCACGGATCTTCTCGACCCTGTTGATTGTCTTCCTTTCTTGATTGAGCATCTTCTGCCTCTCTTTCAAGCTCTCTCGTGGGTCTTTCTCCAAGAGTGGGCCAATTTCTGGATCCTCTGCAAGTTGGACATCCTTGCCATCTCGGATCTGACGCATGGCTTCCTTGAGCAGGCGATTCTCTTCCTTCAAGACAGCCTCCACTGAAGTAGATGATGCCGAAGATGATGGCGCACCATGCCGCTCTTCCTGAACATCTACTTTCTTTCCATCGTAGCCTATAAAGGTCATCTTGCCTTTCTCTGCCTTCTCGGGCTTGGGCTTCTCCTTCTCTTGCTTGCCCTTGGATTTGTCCCATTTCTGATACTGGGTCTGGTTCCAAGTGGACCATGGCATCGTCTCCTGATATATGCAGGGATGTCGTTGGTATACCACCTTCGAATGGTGGCCTGCCAGCAAACCAGCACACCTTAGGTATCGAGCCTTGGCTGACCAAGTCAGCGAGGTTCGCAGCTTGCAGCTGCGGAGGAAGGCACGAGCTAGCGACCGATGTCGTCTAGCTCTTCTGTGCCAGCTTGGAGAGGCCGCTATGGCTCGAGAAGAAGGAAGGACAGAACACGAGTACGTGCACGAATGCACTGGGGCCTTCAAAAGTTCCGCACACTTGTGCGGCGAGTTTGGGCCCTAGTTTAAAGTGGCCCCTAAATTTACACAAGTCTTCGTTATAAGGACCTTTCTTATCCTTCCCTACGTGACCGTCACGTGATCTACTTTACACGAAACGACACGCTCGTCTTAACGACCTCCTTTCCGTTCGGTCCGGATCCCTTGCGGCCCACGGGCGAGAGGTATGGGCTTTTGTTTCCATTGCCCTACCAGCTGCACGAAGCACCGCGTCCCAAGCAACGGAGCGCGGGGGAGACGAACGTGGCAAGGTCGGACGAAGCCTCGAAGCCGCCGGAGGGGGAATCATTAGAGGGGTTCCTGGCCTACCTCCGTTTCGGTTCGGTGGTTGGGGTGGTTTTTTTGGGGTCTAACCTAACCACCTTTGGACGATATGGCAGTGGAGCCGGAATCATCATGGTGTGGATGGCCCCCGTTCCCGTTCGGACCATGAAATCCGAAGACCAATTACGTGGTGCACTCCACTTCCATTATGATTTCAATTGGTGCACCTTTTTGTCCAGCCTGTCATGCCCATGTATATGGAGAGGAACTCAAGGTTGCGTGCATGATTCTCTCCGAGCTACTGTAGGTCACTATATGTGTTTTGCGTGGTACTCCTAGCGCGAGGGAGGATGTTCAGACATGTCCCTTTTGAGGTGGTCATTTCTGTGACAGTCCACATGAGTCCTACCCGGTTGGCCCCGGACCGGCCGAAACGAGATGGGGACCAGTGACCTCCGGTGAGACTCAAACCCATCGGTTGGGTGCTTCTTCCTATTGAAGAACCACACTCGAATAATCTCAGATTAAGATGTATGTTCCATCCGAAATTACAAGGAGTACGATGAGCTTGCCAATTTTTTGTTGGGGGAGTGCAGCATACCTAATCCTTGGGATGCCGGATGCCGTTTAGGGGCTATACCAACCATTTCTGTTACAGTATTTTGGTTGTACGTTTGAAAGGCAGAACATTTGCATAGTTAGAACATCCAGGTATACTTGAAGGTCTCCTCTATAGCTATAGATCCTGTAGAAGGGGTCCTTGACTTGGGCGACCAATTGGGATTTGAGACTCCCGTTTGGATGAGAGAGGATGAGATACCCATGGGACTGCCGACCTGTCTGGGGACTGCCATTTGTGCCGCAGTGCTAGAGTGTAGCACCATGGGGAGCTACATTCAAGCCATCCATCGGTTTAGGATGGACTTCAATGAGATGCGTCAAGGTGGTTGGGGACTCATGGGGTCCATTCGGATAGCTTTGACCAGTGCTTTACCGCCACTGGTGGATGGCCCGCAGGCTTGATGACACGTTTCAACAGCGGGAGGTGTTTTTGGTGGGTGAACATCTTCCTGGGCGGGTGTTTGGGCTTTTCGAGGGCAAAGATTTAGAGAAGATTGCGGGAAGCATCACTTGGTCCAGTCAAATCAACCGCAGGACGGGTCGAGAAGCTAATTTGCCACGTATTTTACCTGCCACTTGCCTTTTTCACACGACGTGTCATCACTCATGTGAACTTCAAGGAAGTCCATGTGATTCCTTTTTTGCGCCCAGACCACATGAGTCGCCCTCCACTCTTGAGGCTGACCCTTTTACCATGGTATTGGCACCAACTTGCCTTTGGGTCCACACCTGGAGCTCCAACGAGAAACCGGGTAGGAGGACCAAAAGCTACTTCCCAAGCAGGTAGTCCTAAGAGACGAGCCCAGAATACTCCTACGACATCATACGAACCCAGAATACTCAGGAGACACCTAAGAGACGAGCCAACCATACGACCTCATACGACCAGGTTTACCTGGGCTCGTCTCATGTCGATCCAGTATGACCTGGGCTCGTCTCACCGGTCGCCCAAGGCCAGTCGATTGGACATCTCCAGGCGCGGACGCATGCGGGCGGTGGGGTGGTGCCACGCACATGGGCGAGGGTGGAGAGCAGTCTAACGAGACATTCATCCGGTGGGAGGGTCAAGAGCAAGTGTTTGAGTGACGTTTTGTTCGGATTGTTTAATCAACTGCATGGTGTCTTAGCAAGATGATCAAGATGGGTTTATGTTTTTTCAATGGCAAGGATTCTGTTTTAATCAAGTGCGCGTGTCTCTATATCACGGTTGTTGACAACATGATGGGTTTGGTCTATGCTCCTCCTTCTTCCAGGAGGAGCAACTGGGTCGGGCCTCTAAAATGCACAACCAAATAAGGTGAATCAAATCGATCTCCACATGCTTTGTTTTGTCAAGCATTACCCGGACACGACCTGTCTGATCTGTCTGGGACAGGCATATGTACATACATTTGGGCGGTGGAAAAGGGGTCAATGGGGTGGCACATGTGCCAATCCCATGGAGTGCCTGCATACTTTGATTCGTTTTGGTTTTGTTCGCCAGTTGTTCTTACATTCTGGGAACAGTTTTGAGCTATAGGTGGTTGAGCCAGTTGACCATGGATGGATCAAAGGAATTGTGATCAAAGTCTGAGTCTTTGGTGCATTGACGCAATGAACTATCCGAAGGTTGCAATCAACCCCGGATTGCTCTAATGGGCCACTTGGATGCTGCTTGGATTCTGATCATGGGTCCGGTGGAAAAGACAGTCACTGGCGTTCAACTTCACGAGTTGTTCAACTGGCATGCCCCTTTCCACCACCCATCCGCCCCTCCAACCTGCTCGCCAGGCATGTGCTGCGCAGTGGCACGCCCGGCGACCAGTGCGCACCCTGGGGGCGTCCTGCGCTACGGCTGCCGATCGCAGTGCCTGCGCAGTCCGAGCGTGATGAGATTGAGTTCCACGACCCTCATTGTTGGGCCTCCACAGGCCTTGGGATGGGAACTATACAGACACCTCTGAACGAACTTCTTCGACGTTTTCCCGCGCAGAGAGGTTCCTCGCGACATGAAGACCTTAGGCGAGTGAGAAGACCTAACACGCGGCGTGTTCCACACGCGTGTTCCTCGTTGGACTGTTTTGCGGTCAGAGGTCCATAGGCGTGAAATTCATGACTATAGCATGAGAGTGACTCGACTCTTCTTGGATCACTCGGCCATGTCTATGTCTATGTACAAAGCTGTTGCTGTTGAGACTTGGATGCTCTCGGACTTGAACTGGTTTCGATCTGGTATAGTGCCCAAACCTATGCCAGTCCCAAACAGGTCGTGTCTGGGTGTTGGGAAGATGTATGTGAATCAGCCGCTTCGATCGGCTGATGACAGGTATGGCTTCGAAGTGGTATCGGCTTAGTGCCCGTGAGTGAAACAAATGACGAGACAGCGCCCATGCGACCGCTGGGGGATCAGCAGGACAGTCCCGCCAAGGAGGAAACCACATGAAAGCTAGTTATCCAGTCCCAATACACCTCCAAGAATTGGGTAATGTAATCATATACTGCATAACACATCTATATAGCCCGTAGTGATCCAGCTATGTGTTTGTTGATCCATGAACTCGGCGAGATTCCCCGCTCATTCACCCCGATGTTCCCCCATGGCAACACGTTTGACACAGCCTTCCCGTCCTCTGACCGGCCGTGATCGGTCCCAACAGTGGGATCAGAACCCACCCGTCAGGCGCTGATGTCTGGGATCCGGGACTCGTTTTGGCCTCGGCGCTGCCGCAGCTCCTGGCGCCCACGACGAGGTCGTGGACGTCTCGGGAGGGTACGTGGGAGGGGGGGGGGGGGGGGGTTTTCAGGTGGGGAGAGAGACATTTGGAAGGGGTGATGTTTGTTGTATGTTGTGGAGTCCGGACGGGAAGGGGAAGGGGAGAAAAGAGTGGAATTCGGATAGCGGGCAAGCAAGTCTTGGGAGAGGAAACGCTGAACCGGGCAGGGCAAAAAACCGGTAGATGTTGATGACGTCGGGTGAGTCCCGCTCACCGCCACCTGCCTATGAGGTTAAGGGATACTAGTAATCCCTTCCACCTATTAAAAAACACGAGGCCCCGCCCCCCTAATAAGGAAACCTCGGTCGCATTTTTTCTAATGGTCCCTGAAATCGGGGGGTCCAAAATAGGGTCACCTGGAAAGAGTTTCAAAACCACAAAGTAATCCAGGAAAAAGTTATACAAAATCATTTATTAAACTCATATCAAAAATGCAAAAAAACCTCCAGATCGAAGGGTCTTCCTTTTCCCCTACAAAAACCTTCATTAGACTAGTGATTCTTCAGTAGACTAACAGCTAAAGCTTTCGAAAGGTGATGTCGCTGTGCCATGCGGTGTTGCATGACCTCGGTGGCAAGCGCGTTTGCGTGAGTCCGTGCCATTGGGGGAAGGAAAGCCTGCTGGTGTAAGCGCGGCGTGTCATGGTGGATAGACAGGGCGGACAGAGGTGGGCAGTTACGGTTGATTTTGGAACCTAATAAGAAACACCCCTCCAAAATTGGCCATGTTGGTAGTTTAGTAGCGGCTTGAAAGGGCGGTAATTTAAAGACAAATATAAACCGTATTTACGGGGATCCGACATGACTTTTTTTTAATAGGGGTCCGCTTTTTAATAGGCACTCGGGATTAGTAAGAATGCTCCGTTCGTAGCGATGCCAGGAGACCCGTTCATAGCGTCCGATCGCTCCTAGTAGTATGGCCAGGAGCCCCTATAGTAGCTTCTTGTTACTCGAGTGCTTGGTCTTGGATGCCTTTTGGGCAAGGAGCTCTTCGATAATGCCTTTGATACACATTTGTGTGGAGAAGGTGAGGGAAAAAGCACGGAGTGCCAAGTAGTATATAACTTTCACGAGCCCATGTTTTGGAAGCCTGGAATTTTCAGAAGCGTGCGGAAGGTTTGTGGGAGGTCAATCAATTTCATTTGCAAATAAAAGTTGAGCTGTGGTTCACTTTTTCTCACCGGTTAAAAAGCTACCTGTATGAAGCACCTTGGCTGTGGTCTTGATTCAGCACGCTTCTGAAAATCAAAAATTATCTTAAAGGCCATGGGCTTAACTGTTTTTCTGGTGTGTCTTGGATGGATTCCAATACCCAAGCTCCAAAGTGCACACGGCCAGACATCTGGCCAAGCTCCAATGCTACAGGTGAACGTAAAATATCGGAACGTGACCTATTCTAACCACAGATCTGGCAGCGACACCCTGCAGTGGCACCAACACCCAAGCTCCAGCGTCTGGCACCAGCTCAAGCTCCAACGCTACAGAAGTTTAAAAAATCGAAACCTGGCCCGTTCTCACCACGGATTAGGCAGCGCCACCCTGCAGTGGCACCAACACCCTGCACACAGCCACATGGCAGCCCAAGCTCCAAAGTGCAGATGTCGCCTCGATGACCTCGAGCCCATTGGTATCCTTCCCCAGGAGATGATCCAAGCTTCCAGCAAGCCATTTTAGGACGTCTTGGGATCAGGAAGGGGCGAGAACGGTGCCTTGGTTGCACCCCAGCTCTGCACTGCGGTGCCCTGGTAAAACCAACGCCGGTACAGCGTGCTTGCAGGCGCTCCCACAACCTCATGTCCGGAGCCGAGGGGCGAGTGAAGCAACCAGTCACGGACACACACATATATATATATGCTAACCCCCCCAAAAGTCCACCTTTTTTGGTTTGCTAGCTTTTACCTAGTGTTGTCCAGTGGCTTAAATATCTCAATGTTGTCCAGAGAAGGGCAGATGTTATGATACGTAATTTGCAAGCGATAATGTTTTCAATTAGTTCCCGGGCAAGCCGGCGGCGGAAGTTTCCTATAAGAACAAACTGACCTATAGGAGCGTCCCGGTTCTTTCCACCATGCGTGTCCCTCAGTCAGACGCATGAGTGATGAGTGAAGCATAGCTCTAGCTCTAGCTCCACTAAAGCTAACTGGAGCTAGACGTTAACTATGATGTGATAGCTTGTCTAGACACGAAGCTAATTAGCTCAAAATTGTCAACCTCTCAAAACACGTGTTTTGCGGTCTCCAGAAAGTAATCGAAATGACCACTTTTTGAGTAAGCAATAAAACTTGTCAACCTCTCGAGAGCCGGGTGGTCGGGAGACATGACTCAGCTGCAGGGGCGCCAGAGCAGCCGCGAGAGATGACTCAGCCGCGTATAAAGTTGCACTACAAAGTCGCCAGTTCTCAGCTTCCAGCTCCACAGATTGCTCCGCGTATTAAAGTTGTGCTACAAAGTCGCCAGTTCTCATCTTCCAGCTCCCCAGATACTCCGCGTACTAAAGTTGTACTACAAAGTCGCCAGTTCTCATCTTCCAGCTCCCCGGTTACTCCGCGTACTAAAGTTGGAGCCCGGCTTTTGGCAGCGGCATTTGCTCTGTGGTGTGGCTCCCTCCAGACCGTGGACGACGTGGTGACCAGGCTGAAGGTGGTGGAGGGATTTCGTGAGTGCCTGAGATGCATTTGGTGATTGCTTTTGTTCCTCATTGTTTGTTGTTGGCTCTGTATCTTGAAACAAAGCTTTCAGTGTGATTGCCCTTCTCCATTGCAGATTCCTTGAGAAAGCCTTGGAGGCTGGGCGGCAGCATCGATCAAGGACCAGCGACCGGCAAACGTGCCCAATTTGCTGGCAAAGTGTGGCGCCCGGAATCTGGGCACTGTCGCAACACCAGCAGATGTCGGAGAATTGCAAAATGTGGCAACGGCGTCAACAGCATTCGCAAGCCTCAGCGGGCCAAGACGCAGCGCCCCCAGCTGCAGTCAAGGCACCTGCTGCTCCCAGTGGTGAGCCGGACCGGATGTCTTGCCCTCGCTGTGGCCGGTCCATTCGCGCTCAGGATGATTGGGCCCGCTACCAGCATTCCGAGCAATGCCACCCGGAGTTCATCACCGCCGATTTCAGCAGGGCATGCATCCTTCAAGTCCAGTCCGGCCGTCGGGAGAAGGCGAGGGCCAAGGAGGAGCCAGTAAGCGCTGAGGGCAAGGGTCGGGCACGCAGTTCCCAGAAGACAGCTCCCAAACCAAAAGTGCGAGAACCCCATGCAGTATTTGATGTATGCGTGTGATGGCTGCTATTTGGCTTCTTTGTCATAATATTGACCAACCACCGAGGCAAACAGACAGTGGATGACGAGAAGCGGGGTCAACTCCAGAAAGATGTCGGATTTCATGGCATCGGTGACAGCTTCCTTGTTGAAATGTCGACTTGGGGGGCCGGGGTGGTACAGGAATCACGTGAAACAGCGTGGGTGTACCGAGACAAGAGTCAGAGAGCCGGCAGTGAAAACAGAACAGCGGATTGACGGAGTGTGCGGCCGCGAGTTCTTACATGTATCTAAAAACGATCCCATCACACACTTCACACACTAAGGTGTGATCTAATTTTGCACTATATGTATGTTTGCACGCTTCCTGCTTCCATTCCCCAGTTACTCGCGAAAGTTAACAGTGCCAAGCCAAGATAGCCCATAATAGTAGATTCATCTAAATATCTGCACCAGCACTTGTTGGACCCTTTAAGAAGTCAAACATGGTCAAACCATTGGTATGTTTTTTTTCGACCAGGTGGACTCCACCAGTCGTCGCTTTGCCAACATCAAACGACGCTTCAGACATGCTGTGCGTATACCTTAGACCTCGTTCCCCTTCTGTTCAGATTCACACTTAATGGTCTCCATGCCCCACGAAATCCGCTTGTTTTCACCCAAGCCTGACGGAGGCTGAGTGTGCTGGAACTGGGCGCTGGCCTCGCTGTTTGTGGCTTCGTCGCTGCCTTGCTGGGTGTGGAAGCCCGTGAAACACTCGGGCGCAGAGACCGGCCGGTACGCACGGCCCATGCGTTGGAATCAACGGATTTTGCCCAGAATGACCAAGAGAGGTGGAACGTGACCGTGAATAGGATCCGGAAAACCTGGGTACCCAACTGGGATAGTCGAAGGGTCGGGTTCTGAAAAACCTCTGTTGGGATGTGTCCAAAGATCGTGGAAACACCTCTAGCGGGTCGAAACACCAGGAAGTGGGTCGAGGTTGGAATCGTTTTGATACACCAGGGTCGATTAATATCGTTGGTGTACAGCTCGGATTTGGGGCTTCAGTGGGGTGGATCCAGTGGTTTCATACTTGACATGAATCCCCACTCCATGGCTCATTTGCGGATATTGGGTTGCCTTCTCAGAGTGTGGATTCCTATAAAGATTCAGCTGCTGGATGCCTCGCGCTGCCGGTGCCTCGCGCTCGCAGGCCACGATTGTATCTCCAGCGATGCAGAGGACACGATTGCTCCATGGCCGAAACAAGAGGGGGATGGCTTAGAGCGGCGGGTGGCCCCCGAGAACTAAAGCGGTGACGGTCCAAACATAGTCCCAGACACGACCTGTCTGGGACGACGCCATTGGGGTGTTTGACCGTGGGTCAATGGGTTAATATTCTATACCAGCACCCTCCAACAGACGTTTCCTGGTGACAACAGGTGCCCAGAAACCATTTTGTTAGTGTCCCAGTGTCCGCCTGGCCACACAGGGTCCTGGTACATGGAGTGTGGGAGTCCAACCTCTATCCACACGACCTGATCATTGGGACGACCTGATATGTTTTACATTTGGGTGCTTGACCTGGGGGCATGGAGAGTCAATGGAGAGGGAAAATTGAGGTCGTGACATGGTCGTAAAAGGGAAACATGGATGGCCTGGATGGCCGGGGGGCATGGTTGGCCTGGTGAACCGGATCGCCTACTTAGACTGCTTGCCTGGGGGGTTGATGGAGATTCCGTACCAACCAAAGCACGAAAATCCGGGGCTGTTCCAAATACACCACTGCAAGTACCACTGCAGGATTTGCTTCATGATTACGTAGCAGAGCCCCAGGTTCCAAAGTTTTCGGCATGGTGACGGCGCTTGCTGCTCGATAGACCCGTTTTTGTGGGGGCCTTCAGTTTTGTTGGTCGATGTTTACCAATGGGAATTGGATGGTACCCCTCTGGTTGCCATGCATCATGCGCATGCACCTCAGCCGCATCCACCTGCAGGCATCCACCGAAGCCGCTGCTCGCTGCAACGAACACCTCTTGCATGGAACGCAGTGGCGCGCCGAGGTGCCCGGCCTACCGTGTCACGACGAGGGCTTAAGCTGTCGACGGGGCGATGGTGTCGTCTGCTGCGTGTCGCGACGGGTGCGGGCGGAGGGCGGAGAGCGGGCTTAGAAGGTGTCCCATGTGTTCAAAAGGTCTCAAGTGTGTTGTTTGGGCTTGTGGCCTATCCATTCAACAGCCTGTCCAGCATGAGCAACGGAAGACGGGCTCGCAAAAGAGACGAACAATGCGCTCTGAGCACGGGCATCTCTTTGGAGCCACCGACGACGGCACGGCGAGAAGAACCGCTGCCCACAGATCGTTCTCATTGAATACTCTCACCATGTCTTTTGAAAGATGTTCAATCTGGATTCCGTTCAAGGCATTTGTCTCGTTGTGGTTTTGCTGTGATCCATTGGGCGGGGACCAGAAGCGCGCGGGGGAGGGTTTTGGTTGAGCAGTTCCGTGCTGAGTACGTTTCCCCCCTGCTGAGTACCATCCAAATGAAATACCACAGATCCAACGGCCCAAATATAGTATTTTTTTTCTGAGCATCTGAGAACATGTGGACTTGTGGACTCTGATAATCACAGAGTGAGGTGTTTTCCTGTGTTTCCAAGCTCAGTGCGCAGGTTCACCACCGGTGGTCCAACTGGTTCATGAGGTGATAGAGTTGCTCCTCTCCCCGCTGAAATGTCAACCAGTAGGGGCTGCTGTGTTTGTGACCCCTGAAACTGCATCCATGGATCTTTGGTCCCCTTGGCGGGTGAAAAACTAGGTTTTTTCCAGCTGGTTCCAAAATGAAACTAGCGTCCAAGGCAGTCAAGAACAACCAGGAGCCCCAAAAGGATGCCCGTTGGAGGAAGTCGGGGTGCCACTATCACATCCACGACCCCTGCATGGGACTAAAACCACCCAACTCCATGAGACTCCTAGAAGTGCCATTTTGTTTACCCTCCGGCAAGAAACACATCACATGCGAGTGGAGTTCGCCACCTGTTTGGGGTTTTTCGGATTTCATATAGTCTTACCATGTCTTACCAACGGGCCATGCCATCCACTTCCGAACGGGCCGGAGTGAGTCGGACGTCAGCTGATGGGGACACCTTCGCCGTCGCAGATGGAAGCCATTGCCCACTCCCGCCAGCACTGGAACTAGATTTATCTCACAAGATATTGCTGCCCCTTCCAAAGATCATCAAACAAAAATCCAACCCCTTGCTATCTAGGATCTTTCACCCCCCTTTTGCTGGCCTCGCACAGACTCCTCCTCTCCTCACCCTCCTCGCACAGACTCGCAGGTCATCGATTGGGACTCTCCGCCGCCTTGGGTTCTGGAGAGGCGACGGGCCGACCGGCGAGCCCGGTACGGACGGCGAGCGCCGTTGTGGTTACAGGGAGTGTCACAGGTTTTTTCGGGATGACCTTCAACTGGAGTTTGGGGTTTTGACGTTTCAGGAAGGTCGTGCTTGTGAGGCAGGGATGTGAGTTTGGTATGAAGGATTCTTTTTTTTGCCTGATATCAATCATATAGTTCATCTGGTGTTTTGGAAATTCCTCAATCCAAGAGGTCAAGAGTCTATTTATTGTCAATTGACCCCAGGTCAACCACCCCAATGTAGGCATGTATGCCATACATGGAGTGTCTGGGATATATATATATATATATTATATATATATATGTTCCACTTCGTTCTGTCGTCTTCCAGCACCATATATATCATGAGGCTCGCCTCGCCGTTCTTAGGATTTTTTGACCTCCCTCAATCGTCCCCCATCTACACCGCCACCCCGCCACACCGTACGGTGGATCCATAGGCCCTCCTCGCGACAGGTCGTGGGATGTGGTGCTGGGCGGCGATTTGGGTTGGTCTGCCGCGCGGGAGTTCACCTTAGTGCGCGGCCTCGATCAAATGAGCCTCGGTCTTGGGAGGTGAACTTGTGGGGTGAATGGGGTGTGATCCTGGCGTTCTGGGGTCGGGGCCAACTTGGAGGAGAAGGGATGAGAAGGGTCAGGGTTGAGTTGAAGGCCGAAACAGTTTGTTGGAACCCTTTGTTGTGGGCCTTGGCGGGACATCTTTGTCGGGAAAATGACGCTGGCCTGGGTGTCGTGAGTTAGTCGAGGGTTTCGAGGAGCCTAAAACCAAGAAAGGTCAAGGAACTAAGGTGTATAGGTGTATAGACGCCCTAGGGATCCATTTTCGTACCGAACCTCAGGTTCGGTACAACTGGACCCTCCTGGCACCTATATGTCTCACTGTCTCCACACATCACCTGAGGTTCGGTAGGACTGGATTCCAAGCCCTAGGGATCCAGTCGTACCTTCTCAGGTACGGTGATTGGAGACACTCTTATTATAGGTGCCAGGAGGTCACAGTCGTACCTCCTGAGGTTCGGTGGCAGTGGATCCCTATAGGGTTTAGGGAGGCTTGACCAGGTTGACCCAAGGTCTGGACCCCGGGTTTGGTCCGGAGCCTCCCAGAGCCTCCGAGCATCACCTGGTGCTCGGTGGCCGACCTGGGTCAATTACAAACGACGTGTGCAGCACATGAATGCAGTTGTTGGGTGTTGTTGGATGTGGTTCTCCTTGGTTGAACGTGTGGCCGGGGGTGCTTGGTTTGCAAACACGTCATGGCTCCTCTCCAAAGCGGCCAACCGTTCCGGACCGGTCCGTGCGGCCCAACGTCTAAGGCCCCGTCTGGTGGTCCCGGTGGGTGGCCAAAGGCTACTGTAAGGTGTGTATGCAAAATAGGGAGACCCTCCCAAAGTCCCCAGGACTCCCCATCCCCATGGAAGAAGGACAATTCAATCTGATGGGTTGTGCGGGATCCGTTTTCGTAGCGAACCTCAGAAGGTACGACTGGACCGTGTCTCCAATGACCTAACCTGAGAAGGTACTTGGAGTAGGGATACATATCCATTTGAAGGTCGACAACAACCTCCAGCGGAACCCCCCGACATGTCGCGTCCTTGGTCACTCTGCTGGAGAACGTTGCCCGTCCAGCAATTCCTACCTGCGTTGCATCCATTCCGAAGTGTCCGGAGGTGGTGCAACAATGCAACGAGCTTCATTTCCCAGACGACCTGTCTGGGACTGCCATAGGACTGCTGAATTACATTGGGGTGGTTGACTGGGGGTCTGTCTAGGGTGGCAGTCCTATGTCAGTCCCAGACAGATCGTGTTTGTTCTTTTTGTCATGAGTTGGTCCCCGACCCCAAATGGATAGACTGGTCTATGTTCGATCTTCCAGAGGAGTCTTTGGAAGGTCTCCGGTCTCCCTTTTTTTTGAAACCTTTGTTACCTGCAGGATGTTATACACTCCCAAAAACTAACATGGACCCTGGAAATGGATCTTTGGAAGATGATTTTCCTCTACTAACCAGTGGTTTTCAGGGTCCATGTTAGTTTTCCACAGGGTAACTCCACCACGTTGTACTTAGAAGTGGAACTTTACGGCACTTGGTGCATGTCTTATTTGGTTTGCCATCAGTTTTTTGATGGTATACGCACACTGAGGCTGCAGAACTGCTTGCTGCGGCTTTTGTCTCAGCTTCTTGGTACGAATGTGGTGGTGAAGTGTTTGCTTTCGCCATTTCATTGAACAAAAAAACCCAAACAGATAGAAAAGCAATACTTTCAAGATGTATTGGACACCGTGCTACTATCTTTTTGGGGAACCACTATAAATGAGGGATATTGGGGACCGGGCAACAGGAAGTGATTGTCCGCCAGGTCCAGAGACCATCCCAATCTTGGCGCCAAATCGCTGGTGATCTCCCATGAGATTCACTCCTACGACCCCTGCCGTGGACCACAAACCTCTGGTCAATTCAGGTGTTTGGTTTGTTTATTTGACCTTGGTATGTGTAGAGCTTTGGAGTCTGAAATTCCTAGGTTTTGGTAAACCAAGGCTTACCAAGGGCGGTGTTTGGAGCCTTTGGGCCTTGGGGCATTGGATGGCACCCTGTACCCTGCGACAAAGATGGACTTCAAACCCGGTGCTTATGATCCAAAAAGAAATAAACCATCCAGTTGTTCTTTTTGACTTTGGCAAGCTCTCTGTGATGAACAATCCAGCCAAACTCATGAAACATCAGGACCGATTGGGATCGTCGATGAACTGGTTCTTCACCACCCCCCTCCGCCTGCCGCGCTCCGCCGCCCGCGATCGCCGACGAGGCTTCACTTTACCGAGTTCCTCCTGGCCGAGCGTGAGCGAGACCTCGAGGTGGACCACAAACGGAACGGAGAACGGTATGGAGCGGAAGTGGAACGGAAAACAGGGACGGTTGGCATCTCATAAGGTTTTGAGAGGAATGAAGACATGATGCAGGTGGGGAAGATTTGGGGAATGACGCTTGCAGAATGACTGGGTGGGAAGGTTTGGAGCTCCATGGTGGTTAATGAAAGAATTCTTGCACCGCCACTGTGAATACTGCAAGTGGATGTTCGTTGTGTCAGGATGCGTCAGGTGGTTTCGCCAACAGCAGGCTCTTCCAAAAAAATGATAATTTTGCAGGGTATGGTGACCAATCATGGCGAAGATGGCGATCCAGGATATATCATTTTGCTGCACTGCATTGCTGCTTGCAGCAAAGCAGTCCGTTTGAGCTAAGGTTGACCAGCTTTGGTTGCCATGTGGGTTGCCCATAGTTTGCCTTCAGTTACCCTTTGGTTGCCGCCTTCAATCAGGTTGCCGCAAGGGCCTATGGTTGCCCTATGGTTGCACTTTGGTTGGGTTGCCCTTGGGTTGTAAGCGCTTGATTGTCGGTGGCCGCCTCTTGGTTGTGTTTGCTTGTCCTTTGGTTGTTCTGATGCCTGGGTGTTATTGATTGCCTAAAACGAATGCTTTCACTTTGAATTTGCTATACCTAAAACTTGGGTTGCCCTGGCCTTGGGTGATCATGAATTTGGTGATTTTTGTATCATTTGCCCGCCCTTTGCTTGGGTCGCCCTCTTTTCTTTGGGGTGACTCTCTCGCGCTTGGGTGCCCCTGTTGCGCGACCTCGTGGTTCTATGAGTGGCGCCCGGTTGCTGGGTGATAAGCGTGACTGGCTGACTGGACAACGCGTAGGCCACGGAGGACTTCTTCGAAGCGCTGGACCCGAAGCACTGGGGTGGTGAAGCGGTGGGTACGCACTGGGTGGGTCCATGAAACGGTATTTTTTGCCACCGGAAAGTGGAGAGGATGTTTGAAACAAGTCTACTACGTTCTAGAGCTGCTAGGTGCTTGGAACACAAGACACATTGTCATACATGTTCATTGGAAAAATGAACTACGCTTACTTTCGAAGAGACCGTTTCCAAGACTTGGCTCAAAAGACTCTACTTGCTGGGTACTTAGTAGCGAGACTTACTCCTTCTCGCTCTTCTATCAAGAACTTCTGCAATCAATTGCATGATATCAAAATTCTTGGAATCAGACTCCGAAACCAAAACAGACTCCAAGACTCAGAGGCATTTCGCAATGGTAGGATTGTGTAACATGTTTTACACGGTGATTATGTTCCAAGAATATTTTGGCCAGTATATTTAGTTTTCATCGGCTTGCCGATGATTTGATTAGCCACACCGGTTTGCGGCAGGCTGCTCAATCACAAGACTTGGCATCTTGCGGGTGGGTGCCCAAAGACAGGTGCTAGAGTTTTTGCAGTGTGTACTGACTACGTTGCACCAATGCGCTGACTTGGGTCTCAGGACCCAACACGACTCCAAAACAAGACGATGGCACCTCTCAAGCATTGCACCTCCAAGAGCGCAACGGAAAAGAATGCTTCATGACCTACTGATTCCATGAATATTCTTGCTTGTCCAAACTTTCTGGGCCGAAATTACTTTGTCACGTCACTGAAATGTGCAGTCGACATGGACATGGCAATGCAATGCACATGTTCTCAACATCTCTTAGTGCAGATAACATGAACCAGACGGTCCTCAGGTTCTTCGGGAAGTGCATGCTAGATGATGGTAGCAGAAAGAGATGTCTTGAATGCTGGATGAAAGTAGTTTCCGGGTGTTCAATACAACTTCTCCTGACATGAAACGCAGTGGCCTGGCCAGCAGGTTCCACATCTGAACGCCAAGGTAATTGCCAAAACATCATGTTTCCCTTGAAGTGCGTGTTTCATACAGAGCCAGTGGAAGATAAACACCTGGACTATGATACCTGTGACTTAAGACATGGCGTCATACCTGCCAGCAGTTTGGAACTGGTCCAGTAAAATTCATATCTCATTTGCCCTAAACTCTTAAGACTCCTTACCAATTCAGCTCTGAGGCAAAAACGACGCGGATCGAGAACAGATCGCCCCACCCACCCCACCCCGCCCGCCATGACACGGATACTAGTGCGCAGTGTTCCCACGGAAAGTAACACGGTCCCGAAAGAGGTCAAAGTCAAACGATGCGAAAGCGAATGGCACGAAGTGCAGTCACGGCTCACGCAAGTGGATTGTTTTCCTGGAGCCATAGCGGCAAGTCGGTGTGAAACACTAGAAGTGGAGCTCACATGCGCTCAACTAAAAGAAACACAAGGGGGTGGGGTGAATATACCAACCGAAACCACACGGCGCGATATCAGCCGTGGGCCAACGACTGATTGCGTCACAGCTACTCGAAGCTTCTGAAAAGGAATCATGTCAGGCAACTGGCAAAACATCCAATCTCCAATCTCATGCAAATTCTCTGAAGCAGCTGCAAATGTCCTTTACGCGATAGCTTGCGACATCGGCGAGGCCGATGGTGCTCACATATCCGTAGCGCAATTCCTCCCAAGAAGCTTGCAGGTGTTCTTCACAAAAGCTTTGCAACATCGGCGAGGCCGATGGTCTACTCAACTCACACACACACACATCCGTAGCACATGTTCTCTGAAGCAGTCACAAGTCCTATTCACAGGAAACGTGATGACGTCGGCGAGGCCGATGGTCCACATACATATCCGTGGCGCATGTCTTGGCGCAATGGAAAGCCTGTTGCACTTCTCAGCGATCTAGCTGGTTTTGCCCTTGCGCACCAAGAGAACGAAGCGAGGCAAACTAACAAGGTTTTGGACTTGGATGCTGTGGATTGGGGCAGACTGTCTCGGGCTATTAGTGCCTATCAATGCGAGCTGAGCAATGATACTGTTAGAACCAGGGATTGCGGCCTGCACGGAATTATACAGAACGTGCAGAGGTTGAAACTGAATTCAGAGATTGCACGCCAACTGGTTTCCTTTGCTGATGAGAAGGGCCTAGAACAAGCTTCCAAATTCTTACGTCTGAAGCTCCTTGTGTGGCTGCAGCGCAATGCTGAGACAGCTGTCCTTTGTGATGATGTTACACTCGGGGACTGGATACGCATGAGCCACCACACTCTGGAAGCTTATTATATCAGTCACATGCGGGAAGCTGGCGCCTGGATAGATATCGCGATGCTGTATGCTGCCAGTGCCTTGCTTGGCATCCAGTGGATGATTTTCCTTCCAGCCTCGCGCCTTCAAATGTTGGCAGCGCAACTTGTGCAGGAGAAGGGAAGGGCGGCAGTGGGCCTATTGGCAAAGGCCAGACATGTTTTCCTGGGCGTTTCACCATATTGTTTGGAACCGGCAGCTGGACAAGGCAACGAGGACGCTCTTCTGGCAGCCTGTCAGAAACAACACATTGGGGAAGACTCTGATGGTGCCAGCTTGTGTGGCTCAGAGGAGGGTGATTGCAAGAGCCAGCCTCTGCTTCCGCTTCCACTGCACTGCTTCAAATGTGCACTGCCCTCATGCTGTGTGACCCTTTTCAAAACAAGCAGTGCAGCAACGACTTGACAGCCCTCCTCATGCAAGTCAACTGTGGGGCCAAAGATGACGCTGTGCAGCAGACATTTCCGGCCCTACAATGGAGGGCCGCCGTCAAACTCAGAAGCAGTGTTCAGCAGGCATTGATAGGTCTGTGGAACTACAAATTGGGAAGAAGTACCTGCAGAAACGGTCTCTTCGCCCTTGTAGGTTGAACTTGTATTTCCATTCGCGACGCCTGTGCGCCAAGCTGTCTTTGGCTGTCATTCGAAAAGCATTGGCTTCCCCTTGCCACAGACATGGCAAGGTTCACAAGTGTTTGGATGCTTTCAGGAAACAGCCTGAAGCAGTGCTCCGGTGGCGAAAGCTTTGGTACGCTCTTCCGAAGGAAGACCGAGGCGCCCGATTGTCGCAGATGTTTAGAGATGCCAATTGTCATGAGGAGGATTCGAGAATGCAATTTCAAGTTTTGGGCCAGGACGTCTGCAGCAGCGTTCATCCAAATCACTGGTGTGCATGCAGACACCCTGCAGCGCGCCAGGCAAGCAAGCGCCTCTGCATTTACACAGGGGTCAGGGGCTTGGCGCGCGAGGCGGTCAGTTGCTTACCTTGATTGCAGGGCTTGGTTGCTGGACTACGCGCAGTCGCACGCTGACTCGAGTCCACTAAATGATTCACTGTGGTTGCCCAACGCAAGGAAGTTCTTCTATTGGTGCGCATACAAGCAAGACCGATTGTCTCAGGGCAAGCCCAACAATGAGATCGCTGAGCAAACCTATTTTTTAAAGATGTGGAGGACAGAGCTGCCTTGGATAAAGATACGGACTGCCAATGGACCCTTCACGCACTGCGGGCTGTGTGACTACCTCAAGTGGCTGATAACCTCTGCGTCAGACAAGAGTCGGCGGAATGATTTGAACTTGTGCCTAGGCTGCCTAGGTCGGCACTTTCAATTTCAAGCCGCGCAGCGGGTGGCAGTGAGCAACATCTTCCGTCGGAGTGAAGCTGATCCAGACGAACTTCTTGCCACGGATCACGCAGCTGAGCAACACTCAGTTCATGAAGGGTGGATCCCGCCTGGTTGTATCGTTGATTACGCCAGGATTGTTGAGCCAACCCCTCATCTACTCTATCATGGAGGATCAGACCCACGGCCAAAGTAGCTAAGGAGCGAGAGGCCATCTTTCGAGGTGTGGTTGGGTCAGACAAATGGACTCCAGGCAAGAAGAAGGAAGCAGAGGAAGACGAGGAAGAACTTGAGGATGAGCAGCCCCTGCAAGAGGAGGTGTCTGACAAGGGTGCCGCCGAGACTGTTGTCCTTTTCCACATGGAGCAACACCCGAAGACCCCGCATCAACGGAATGAGTTTCAAGAATTTAGGCAACGATTCACGATATTAAGAAACAACCCACCGTCTTTAGCTGGTTGAACATCATCCGCTTCTTTCCAAAAGCTTCTAGAAAATGGCTTTGTGATCGTTCTCCGTCTCAGGTTCTTGCCCAGCTCCTCTGGGAAAACTCGACCAGGGTTGCGATTGATTTCAGCCTGGAGGGGGCATGCTGGCAAGAACCGCTTTGTCCATGAGAGTCAAGCTGGTAGCGATTGGCTTGAACTGTGGAAGGGAATAACCTTGCATCTTGCACTGCTAACAAGGCAGACCGGTTGGCAGAAACAAAGCCAAACCGGCTCAAGCTGTTTGAGTCTGAAAAGGGGACCAAGCGAGATGCGGAAGCTCCTCTCCTCCAGGCTGGCGGAGTTGCGTTTCAGTCGAACCTCGATGGAGTCTTGGACGCGTTGGAGGCAGGGAAAGAGATTCCAGTCAACAAGAAGGCCCGCGTCGAAGAGAAGAAGACGGAGCCAAAGACGGAAGTGAAAGCCACCAAGGCCGAGGGGAAAGCTGAACCTGCAGCCTCAGCGAAAGGTGGGGACGGAGTCCCGGTGGAGAGCGTGACCGACCTTTTGAAGAAGTTTAGCATGTGATCCCTCCGTGGATCCATTTGGCTGTTCACAAGCAAGAGTGAACACGCATTGCTTGCGTGAGGATTTGGCCGCAAATAGTGTCCAGCGACGATGCAGAGAATGTCTAGGAGTACTCCTTGCGCCTTTAGTCGCTTTCATCTCTCCTTGCTAAGCCAATTGACTTCTAGCGCCGGGTTCTCAAATACAGCGCCCTTTGTTTCTGAAATGCACTTTGTTTAGGATTAGTCCATTGGGCATGATTGACATGTCTGGTCGGACTGCTCAAGCCTTGGGGTGAAAGGCTACTTTGCGTTTGTTTATTAGCCCATAAAACAGTTGCCTGGCAGCTGAGGTGTGCCTAAGGCAGAAAACAGCCGACGGCCACACCAAGAAACGGCACCTTCGCCACGGCGAAACACCCTGGCCCTGAAGGTTTCAACGGGGCGAGCCGCAGCCAGCCAAAATGAAACCTTACGTTGCCTGGCACGTTGCCTTCGGAAGCCCATAAAAGCTGAGGTGTGCCTAGAGCCAAAAAAACCGACGGCCACACCAACAAACGGCAGCTTCGCCACGGCGAAGCACCCTGGATCTGCTTGGCCTGGGCAGCTGTTTCACCTGCAGTGTCCCAGGCGCCGCCCCGCCTAGGCATCGGCTAGGCCGGGGTCGGCGGATATAATAGGGCAATATCAGGGGACCCATGGTTTTTCTTCACTCACCAGCTATATATAGGGCTTAGGGTCATGTTCATTTTTGCTTCCCCCTTCACGGAACGCCGGAGGACTGTTCGGGCTTCGTGGCTCACCGCTTGCCGGTGCCCAAGGGGCCCCACTCGAAGCCCCTCACGGAGCGCGCGGACAACGGGCGCGGCGACGACGACGGTCGTCACGTGCCCGTCGATGCCGCGTAACGGTCGACGGAGATCGTTGGGGATCGTTGGGAATGGCCAGTGTCTAGTCATTCATTATTGATATTTCCTATCTTTCATGATCAAGGATGCAATCTCATAAGCATTCACATTATAAAGGATCAATCATTCATATTAATGTTGACTTTTCATTTATTAACCATTAATTTAGGAGACGACATCACATTAAGAGACAACCATTAATCCATTAGAAAGATATTAATCTGACAATCACCTGCAACACCACTTATTCTATTTTCTTTAGTCATGCTTTATTCTATGGAGATTTGCCATTTTATTCTCTATTATATATTTATAAGGGATTGTTACCCATGGGAATTTCTATGTTATTCAATTTTATTTTATCATGCCTTTTCCTTTTTTATGATTTCATGTTTATTAGTATTTATTATCGTTCAATTCATAACCCTCATATTAAGGAAGAATCCTCTCATCTACATTTTTTATGTATTGTTTTATTTTAAGGGTCATACGCATAGCCATTTGGTGTGATGCAGTGTTTGAGCGGCGGGGACATGGACGTCTCCCAATATACCAGGAGTCACATGGAGTTGGGTGGGTTTGTAGTCCCATCCAGGGGCCGTGGATGTGACAGGGGCACCCCGACTTCCTCCAGTCAGTCAGTCAGTCAGTAGTCAGCCAGTCAGTCAGTCAGTCACTCAGTCGCTCAGTCAGTCAGTCAGTCAGTCAGTCAGTCAGTCAGTCAGTCAGTCCGTCGGTCGGTCAGTCAGTCAGTCAGTCAGTCAGTCACCACTGTTTGTTTGCCCTTCAATAGGCATTTCTTTGGGACACCTAGTATATATATATGTGTAATCACGAAAGGTAGCTTGAGCTACCTGAGTTCTCCTTGCTTTAGCAAAAATGTATTACAATCAGGAGTTGGGATTGTGCATTGAATTTGGTCCTGTAAGAGTTGATTCTGTTCACGCCGTCGTGGACTTCTACCAGGGTTACTTGTGATTGCCTGCTACCTTTCGTTCACCCCCTCCTCTCTCAAGTATAGAGAGAGAGGTAGAAAGCATCCTATGGCATCCTCTACAAATTGTTTGAGTGTTTGAAGGGGGTTTGATGGGTTTGTCATCAACACATAGGTGTGTTGTCACTCCATTTCTCGGGTCTATATACCAGTTCCGTTCGCCGCCGGCGCCTCCCTGTTCCGGCGCAGGAGGCGCTGGATATTACGTTGTGGAGCGTGCGCCACCGGTGTTTGATCGATGCTCGGAGACCCGGAGCGGACGTGTTGACGAAGCTGGCGTTGGACGGATGGCGCATGCGTCGACTATAGAGGAGCAGAGTATGGAGCAGAGGGTCGGTCCATCCCCATGGGGTTGTTGGCCAGTGGTAGGGAACAGTTGGGGAGATCTCCGTGGGGGTTCACCTGAGGCTGGAGGTCTGCTCCACCTGGAGACTGGCTGGGAATGGGAGAGGCGTGCCAAAAAGGTGCAGGACTTTCAGGATTGTGCGGTTCTTGCATCGCAAGACTGCCTTGCATCGTTCTGGAAACTGCTTTGCATCGCAAGACGTTGGCCGACTTGCCGCGTTTGAACCGAACTCTCAGGATTGTGCGCCGGATCCCGCCTCTCTTCTCGCGCACTTTCTCGCGGAGCCGCTGCTCCGCATTCAGCGGTTCGGAGGGCGATTTGGGCGGTACGGAGTGGCACGTGGGTGAATCACTGATACTGCATGCAGCCTTACTTTTGATAGTCTCCAAAATTGAGGGAGGCTTCCTGTTGACCGATGAGTTTAGTCTATGTCATTGTGGCACAAGATCCCATTTGATCATGATCTGGCGATGCAGAAGGAGTGCAGCAGTCACCTGTCATTCAGGATGCTTCTGGAACATGATTTCACTTATTTTCAATTAGTACTGTTGGTCCAAAACAAATAATGGATGTCACAAAGAGTTTTGTCACAGGTTTGGGCGAAGTAGCCCACCTACAGCGTCAGGAAGAACAATGACGTCTTCTTTCAACCGGCCCTGTTCTTGTTGACTCGGGTTTTGAAATGAGCAAATGAGCGCGGGATGGCTACAGTCTCTTTCGAAGCAGAACCGGCAACAGTCTCTTGCAGGTCCTATGTTTTGGGATGCACGCGTTGACATTGTTAACATCACGATTGAATCCAAGAACAGTCAAAGTTATCTTATTATGATGAATTAGTTTGGTTTGAACATGTTTGAACTTAAAGCCAGGCCTCATGATATGGTGACTTCAAACGTCTTAAGACGACCTGTTCCTTCCACGTCTCAGTCAGATGCTGTTCCCAAAAACCGTCGGGTCATCGTCGGGTCCTCCTCAGGCACCCTTGGCTCTGTGACGCGCATTGGCTTGGCCCCGCGGGCAGCCTGTCCGGCGAATGGGCCACCGGAGAGTTGGAAGAAGCCGTGTTTGGTTGGTTCGGAAGACCTGTGGTCCGGTCTTCCAGTTCGGAGAACGCCTAGAGCACGCCTAGCACGACTGACTCACATCACATGGAAGTGGAAAAGTCCGCGGTGTATAAAGGAAAGTCGTCTTCCAAGGGACCATTTTCATCCATTTTCCACTTCCATGTTAGTGAGTCAGAGTGTATTTTTGGTAGAAGAAAGACGTTGCCAGCCATAGAGAGATCCATGGAAAACATGGTTCTTAGAGGAGGGCCACTTCTATACTGCTTTTGGGCGCTTCTATTCTGTTGAAGAAAGGATAGTTCGACATCCCATGGGTACCCCTCTAGGGTGCTAGCTGAAAGGTCACTGAACCTCTCTTGGATGCTTAGATGTTTTGCCACCAGGACTGAAGACTTAAGGCATGACCGGGTAGTGCCTCAGTGCCTCACAGAAATGCGCAATAGGTGAAGAATATTCAGAAGTGAAGGTTTCTGAGAATTTTGCTGAGGAAATATGTCAGAAAGCAGAAATAGCACTTTTGCTGAGGAAGTGAAGGTGAAGATTTCTATTTTCTCAAGACTGGTCTATAAGCTATTCCTGTGTTACTTGAAACATCGAATATCTCCAGGTTTCTTGGACGGACGTATCGGCAGTTTCCAAACAGAAACTGACCCCCCACAGACAGTTTCTATTTAAACATGGGACAGTCCAACTCCTACTCACCTGTAACGCTTCGGTGGGACAGAGAGCTCAGCAACGCACGTTGAAAAACGTCCAGAACGGGAAGAGGAGCAACGCCAAGAATCCACGTGGCACAGAAACCCGGGACTCGCCCACAACCCAAAAGACTTCCGGTTGGATTCGGGTCTTCGGCCACCCGCGGGGGTTGGTCTTTCAGAATTCCGCGGCAGTTTGGCTTCGAGGTTTGCTGGAGCAGTTGGCTTCGAGGTTTCCGTCCGGTGACTCAGGGCCGCACCCGGTGAAGGGGGGCTCCTGGTGAAGCTGGAGCACGGGACGTCGGATGAGTGGCAGATGAACACACAGGTGGTGATTCGATTGAATAACTATTAAAACCCATCTCAAAGCCCTTTCTCCAAGCTAAGGAGGTCAGTGTCCAATTTGGAGTTCCATGTTGGGGTGGTGATTGGAGGACAGAGATGCCAATTCACTCCTTTGGAACTAGAAACTGGTGTTTAACCATATAGAACCTTGCATCCGTGTTGTCAGTTTGTGTCGACCATTTCCAACCTCTTTGGATTGATTGTATATGCTCTGGTAACTGCTATCTTTTGGACAGGGGTTACAAGTACCGACTCTGTTTTTTTGCTTTTTGATAGCCCTTGAGAAGCTCTCGGCAAGCTTACAGAACCAGAACCAGTCAGCTGGCATGGCAACTCTTGCAGCTCCTACCGTGAATGCGCTTTGTGGACTTGACCGCGCAGAATGACAATGCGGTCTTGGCGACTCCTTCATGGAGAAGTGACAAGATCCCTTACTTTGCTTTCACCAACAACGAAACACACATGACCCTGCTGAAGGAGAGGCTGGAGTCTGGAGGTAAGAATCTTCAACACCTTGCTTGGCCGACAAGATGCATGTTCATGACATGTCAAGACCGCCTTCAAAGCATCGGTGCAGTCAGCCGAAGGCGAAGTGAATGAAAGCTTGAAAGTCACTTTAGGTGATGCCTGGGCAGTTGTTTACACTGGCAAACGTGATCAAAGCGCGTTGGCAAATGCTTCTGCCAATTTTCAGAGTGCCTTGAAATCGTTTCGGGGTGGCGAGCCTGCGCCTTTGCAAGCTGCAGTTTTTGGGTTACTCCCTGAAATGCCATCTACTCAAAGCACGCTTATGGTTTTCCACGTGGCCTTTGCAAGACACAGCCAAGTGGCTCGCCCCCCCGACCCCGCCTCCAGCAGGAATATGCAGGAATCACTCCGCCCGATCCAGCAGATGTTGAGAAGGAGGTTTGCGACAGTGATTTGGATTTTCAGGGTATTTCTGTTTTTGGCAAACTGAAGAGGTGTGAGCGAGCGAGCCTTGATCAGCCGCTTTTGGGCATCAATCCTCCGAATGGACACGCTTGCAACTTTGCAACTGTGTGGCTGGCATTTTTGAAGAACAACCATGTTCATCCATGTGCAGTTTTGCAGATCCTCGCTACTGCTTTTTGATTGAGTCTCGCCTGCCAACAAGTTGGCGAGTTTTATGGGAACAAAACTGTAGTCAATGCAACTTTGTTGCTGATGGCATGCGAATGGGAGCCACTTGTGATCGACAAAGCTGAGAAAGCTCGCTTCTTGATATCTGTGGGATTGCACAGGTTTGGCTCGTTGAAAGCAGTCCAGGCCCGTTGCATGATGGAGCTGGCGTCCTCGAAGTAAAAGGGCGATGTGTTATACGTTGGTGATGGCCCTGTTTAAGTTTAAATCCCTCGACCCCGAGAATGAGTGCTGGGCTGGTGGGTGTCTAGCCTTTGAGCATTAATATGTGCGGTGGTAGAGGACTTCCCCCACCACAAATTAATTATAGCCAGCCAAACCGGATCTGCTTCAAAGCCAGTATTGCCTCCAAGGGCAAAAGTTTTAAGCCAGTTGCTGCAACCCTTAAGCAAAGGGAAACAAACAACCATGCAAGCCCTGCACAGAGCGCAGAAAGCCCTGCAAACGGCACAGAAAGGCTTACGAGTCCCATTGAGCTTACCACTTCCTCAACAGGAAGTCAAATTCCTCCACAGGAACTCCAGGATATAGCCACATTCTGGCAATTTGGGTATGCAAATTCTTCCCTTCCAAAGGATCACATGAGCTGATATCCTACAAAGGACATGCTAATCCTACAGAGCTATGACCTTACAAGAATCCTATATCTGCACATCTTGCGAAGGATCTACATGCAGAGATCCCCGTGCCAGGCTCCTCCAAGACTGCCTCCAAGAAAGGTTTGAAGTCTTCAATGACCATTCAGACCTGAGAGAAGTTGGCGAAACATGGAAAACAAAACTTGAGCCAGACAAGGGTGCAAAGAATCCTATGAAACCTGCAAATCCTACAAAAAAAAAAACTATTCATCGCACAAAGGATCACATAGCAACAGCTTTGGAAACATATGTCCACATTTGACTTGAAACGCGTAAGATTCCTAAACTTTAAAAAAGGTCTCCCTTGCACATGCTTCTGGCCAAGCTCCTCCAGGAGCAAGAAAGGCTGGGTCCACTCTCGAGCCCAAAACCTTACAAAGCTACTGCATTTCATGCTTACTGTATCCTCAAAGGGTTTCCCCACAAATTCAAAGGCAAATTTAAGGAGTCTAGTCTAGAGTTTCCAACATTTAAGGTGTTTTATTTTATTGTAGGTGTCTTGTCGAAAAGTCAGACTCCTTTATTGAGGGCCCCCTTTCTTTAAGGTGTATTGGAGACTCTTATGGAAGAGCCGGTGTATTGCTCCACCGTTCAGTTGAACAACGAATCGGTTTGCGTGCTTGCTCGCACTGGGATGCGGCAAGACTGTGATTGGTGCCGCCACACTGAGCGTTCTGTGTCCAAACCGAAAGGTCATTTGTGACCAATCCACTGGGGCGAACGCGAGAAATCCAGCTAAGAGAGTGGTGTTTTTTTCTATACAGGCGACGTGATCAAGGGTGAGGTTGACTTCGACAGGAACTGCGACCTGTGCGAGCGACGTCGGGCCATATTGAAACTCAGGAGGAGATTTTGAGCTTGCCGACGTGTCTGCAACTCAATATCAGCAACCAAGGGTTCTGTTGGCTGTTCTTTCAAGGCAAACTCAGCCGGAGCAAGGAGGGGAACCTACAGTGGGTGGGGGAGTCAGCCTCAAAATGTCATCAGGTCGCTTCTGCGAACTGCTTGAGATTGGGATGATGGTGAGGTAGCGTAGCTCACAACGGCGTCGTTGACCCAGAAGGCGGACGAGATAGGTTTGCCCCGATGATCCAGACCAACCACGGCCCGTCAGGCCCGTGAGCAGGCACCTTTGGGTGTTTTCCTCGTCAGAAAGCTCCTGGCATTTCCTGGAATGACCATGGACTTTTTTGCGTAGTGCTGCACCAGAGCTCAGTGTCTAGATGTTTCAGTTTGTCTTGAAAAAAGTGCTATTCTATGAAGAGCCATTGCAAGGGCAGGGAAGTTTGCTCTTCCAGTCCGACAGGGAAGGGTGCTTCCAGACAGCCCAAAGACTGGAGGCAGATCAGCTTAGAAGAAGGGCTTGCCCAAAATGGTACCTAAGACATATCCCAGACGCTCCATGTATGCCATATATGCCTAGCCTACATTGGGATGGTTTGGGGGTCAATGTAGGCATATTCAATACATGGAGTGTATGGGTATATAGATGATCGGACACTTGAGGAGAATGTCCCACTTTGAGGAGAAGGGCCAGGCGAGGTCTGCCTGCGGCCCTTCCAGCTCTTGTTCGACCTAGACTCTGCTTAGGTATTGCGAATGCAATCCTAGAAAGGTTGAACAGCCCATTTTCGCCCATCCCATACGTACTACAGGGTCCTAATTCAGGTCCCACAACCTCTCTTGAATCGTAGATCCCTTTCAGAATGAGCGTGATGCTGCGGAAGATTTCGCCAAGGAGATCAGGTTAGGCCTTCAAAAAAGGGTCAGGTCAGGCAGAGGACCTTTGTCCCGTGGGACCCGTATTTCCCTTCAGCCTGGCAAGAGGGATTTTGCGCTATACGAAGGACACTCCATTTCAATGAACCGTCGAGTGGGGATTTCACCCCCAAGGGGCTCGTCTCGATGCACGTCGAGTGAGATTGCCCACCCAACCAAAACACGTTTTACAATGGAACAACATAATCTCACAGGATCCCAACTGTCAAATTCTTCACCTCTCTTTCGTTGTTCAACCACCGCAACCAGCTTCGCTCGTTTTTTCACTGCTCCGCTCTTCGCTTGTTTTGAGGTCCGAAGGCCGCCGACCTCTCCACGCCCTGGAGGACCTCGACCGCGCCGGCACCGCGCTGACGTCGACGTCGGGCGGCCCTTTTTGGAGGAGCGCGATCGGAGAAGTGGATATGTGATATATGTTTTCTTTCTATATATATTAGAGAATTAGTATACCAGCACCTCCAACAGGTCGCCAATTGAAACCTGTTAGGGCCTAACAACCCTCCAAACGAGACCTGTTGGAAGGTGCTGGTATATGTGTATTTTAGTTCCGCAAATTGATGCTATAGGAGTTGAATTCCTGAAGGTATCAGGGACGACTGTGAGGACTTGCCCAAAATACCAATGGAACCCGACTGCAATGGTATAAAACAAGTATATATAAGTTTGGTCATATAGTTTTTTTTTTTTTTTTTTCGGGGGTGGGCTCCGCCAGAATCATGTTGGACGAACGAGCCGGGGGGAAAAACGAGATCTTCTGATCGGAGGATCCGAACGGATCTTGGGCAGCACGTGGGCCTTCGAAAAGATATGGAGAGCCATGGAGAACCCTTGAATCACAGGCAGGGAAATGGAGAACGTCCATACTGAATGGAGAAGACATCACCTTCTCCCATGGCACCACCTGGAAAAAATAAACGTAACGTGGTCGAACATCCGACCGGTTGTCCCTACTCTTGTGCCACCTGTACGCGTTTTTTCTTCATCTACTCATCGCATCTCATCGTGCTTCATCGGTCCAGGCCCCGACGTGTCGACGTCGACCAAGGCCTGGGCTCCTACTGCTGAACGTTGGCCTGGTGGAGGCGTCGACCCAACGCCGGGCGTCGGCAGACGCATGTGGACGCGATCTGCGAATTCAACACGCAGCGAAAGATCCATGACCCAAAGACTCCATGTATGGCATATCCCTTTTTGGGGCTCCAGTCGCGCCGAACCTCCAGGTTGGGTGATTGGAGGCTTTATTTACGGTGCCAGGAGGGTCCAGTCGTACCGAAGCTGAGGTTCGGTACGACTGGAGCCCTATCGGGATATAGATTCTGCATGATTCTGCCCCATTGACCCCCAAAACCACCTCCCCAACTGCTTTGATCGGGAGTCATATGCCAGTCTCATCAAGTCTCAATGCGATCAAGATATCTTCTCTCATGAGAGGCTGAAGCCTAAGGTTTCATTCCAAGAGAAGGTGGCGTTTTCGAAAGCGAGCAACATCGATGCCATGCTTCTTCCGACGCTGGAAGATGGAGAGTTCGAGTGTGAAGCATGATGAAGCAATATCACATGACCAGCAATTCAGCATCCAACAGATCTTCAAAATGGAGATTGTTGTCATGTAGCCAACACACAGTCAAACCATCAACCCCAAACATTTGTGAAGAAAATGACATTCCACCAGAGCTCTCTAAGACGTGTTTCTTTGGGAGACCCCACTTAGGTTTTTTTGCGTCAGTGTAGCTCCCTCCTCCTTTTAGTAAACAACCATGATGGTTGATGGCGCCCACACGTCCGAATCAACGCCAGACCCCGCCAGACCATCCGGTGGCCCGGTGACCCCGAGTCGTCCGTCCAGCTCCGCAGGTGTCGTTCGTGAAGTCCTTGGCCTTGCGGCGCAAGCACTTCCGCACCAGGCAAGCGGAAGCGTGCGATGGGACCGTGGTGGTGGGGACGTTGTGATGAGATGGTGGGAGGTGTTGGAAGAATAGAATAGAATCGTTTATTGTTGCTAGCGCAATATTGGCAGGACGCGGTTGAATTTCCATGTTTTATTGTTTTTGTGTGTGATTGAAACTGAGTATGTGCACGTGCCACAGTTGGATATCAATTCGTACTTGTGGCTGTGTTGTCAGTGCAGATTCATGAGTGACAGGAACGTGACTGCGGCTGCTGCGCTGTGCAAAACCGGACATGGAAGAACTGTCAACTGCAAAAGCGTTGAACTCATCACGTCGTTTGACCTCATCGTTCGGTTCCCTTTGACCTCATCGTTCGGGCGTGCTTGGGTGCTGCATCCGCGCACGTGAAACACGTGCTGCTGCTGCGTAGATCATTTGGGGGGAAGGAGATCGAAACGGCCAGAAACAGAAAATCGCTGGAGGAAACTGGAGAAACAGCAAAACATCTTGTGTTTGTCATGGTTCTGGCGGGGCAAAAAAAGAACGACGCGGAACCTGTTTCGGAATCACGCGGACGGTGTGAACACGTCCGAGCTCATCACGTCGCTTCATGTAATGTGAACCGAGCACGCTCAGCCTAGCAGCTCATTTGGACCGAGCAAGTGGAAGAAACCACAGCAAGTCGATGGGACATGCTCTTGGGGGAGTGGATGTGCTTTTTGGAGGCCCAGAAATTGGTTAATCCATTGTGCAGTAGGTGCTTTCCTTACTGGATAGGAATGCTAAGCTCCGACGTTTGACACTGGCGCCGGCCATAAAGTTTGCCACCTGGACGTGGGGGCTGCATGGTGAGGAGTTGCGAGACTGTTGCGCACAAAATCTGCAAACCACCAATCCATGTCCAAAATCATTGAGATTCAATTCTCTTGAATGTTGGTAGTGTAAAGGACTTAAATCATTTGGTACCCCAAGGTTAACCTATATATGGTGTATTCCAGAGGGTTTTTGTACATTTCTTCCATCTCAAGCAGGATGAACATCGATTAACATCCCTTTGAACCGGCCGGGCAAACGACGTCAATGTTCACACCATGGCCGTGCAAGGCTTTTGATGGCACACCACGATGCAGAGTTGGAAGCTCAGTAAGTCTTCTTGAGGTACCAAGTAGATCAGATTCTCAATGGAGATGGTACTGATCTCCTCTGAAGAGACCGAGACCGAGATGTTTCATAAACACATCAGGGGGCGTGGTCCCACTTCCACCACCATGTTATAGTGGACAGTATCAATATTACAGTGTTACTTTGTGTCATATATTGTGTGGAGGTTCTCAAGATTTTGTTCAGACGTTTTCATGCCACGGAACATTAGTGGTGACTGGAGATCGGCGGCGACGTAGGACCCCAAGCGAAGCGACAAAAGGACGTCCAACGACTGCTTGTGCAAAAATTCCAGAGGTCGACTCTGGAACTAACATGGAAGTGGAAAGCTCCCGGTTTTTGGAGGAAAATGGCCTTACTTACGGGGCCATGCCATCCACGTACCCATGTTAGTTGCAGGGAGTGTAAATGCCAGGAGCCTCTTCCGAATCCAGAAGACCTTCAAATCCCGAAATGGTTCACCGAGTGGTTGACCGGTTCAACTTCGGGTCAGCTTCAGTTTGGTGCAAAAGGTTGCCTCCCAAAACGCACCAAGCACACTACGAGCCTGGTTTGCAAGGCCAAGGCGGCTAGCCTGGTGAAGTTCTCCCAGGATCGGGACATGCTTCCAACGTCCCAGTATCAGCGTCGGAGCGCCCCCACGAGACGAATGCCTCAGCACGTCAGGCTGCAGACCACGAACGAGTTCTTCGAAGAGGTCATCAGGCCCGGGCACGACCGCGGAACACCCACGGAACACCTGCGGGGGCCTGAACCGACCGAAGTCCGAATTGGAGGGTGGGAGAGAGAGACTCCTGACGCGTTCGCTTAAGCTCTCCCTAGGCTTCCTGGCCCTGGCCCACCATTAATAGGCTGAATCCCGAAGTATTGTTTTAGTAAGGATTTTACACTACAAAACCAGGTCAATTGTTGTTGTTGTTGTTGTTGTTGTTGGGTTGGGTTGGGTTGGGTTGGGTTGGGTTGGGTTGGGTTGGCGGCTCAAAAGTGCACCGCGGAATTGGATCGCTTGTGCACTGCAGTATGCCAGTATGCCTGCGATCCAATTTTGCGGTGCGCAAGCGATTCGGGAGGGGTCTTGGGTAGATGGAGACACAGGTTTTTTGTTATCACTGAGTCGACACTGGTTCAGGCAAAGCAGGGTTTTGACTTCGTGGCTTTCACGCAACCAGCAGGTATCGGCTGCTTCGACAAAAGAAACAAGAGCTATTCTACAATGTTAGATATTCTTGTACCAAAGCATTGGAGCTTCAAGGAACAATTTGAGCACCTCAGGGTGAGCAAGGGCAATGGTCAAAGCCGCCCGGCAGCCTGCGAGAACTTTCAAGAAGCCTGCTGTGGAGAAAGACTCGCATGGCTTGTTGATGGAGTGTGTGGTTGGCAAGAAGATCTCCCAAAGACCAATGGCCCATGAGGAGACGCAGATGGTGGGCATTGCTGGTGCCTGATACATGGGGTCTTGATGATTTGAAGCCCTGGCCCATGCACTCACCCTATCGGTGCATTCGTGATGTGATGTCCCATTGGCAATGTCTTGAAGCTCATGAGCATCTCCAGCTCTCACTTCGTCAAGATGAACTGGATGCTTATGCAAACAAAGATTATGGCTCTGATCCAAGACAACTACGCCCCCAAGACATCGCCAACACGCTCTTGCATTCTTACTCAGTTGCCCTCCAAGCTTGCCCTTGTGGTTGTCGCAGTTCGGCTTTCAGCCAACGCTCTTTGGAGGATAAGGGCTTACGGGGTTACTATGTCACCGACGGTATGGGCCGACAGCGCTACTTGCACCCTCGAGAAGCTGCTCACCTGCTGGGCATTGCAGATATCACGGTCTATGGCCCTGAGAGAGGATTTTCTGAAGGAGGTGGTTGATCGGGTTGCCAAGAAGAGCGTGCCGGATCAGAACGTGAGTGCTTGATGTGATAACTTCCTTTCAGAGAAGATGATTATGAAGACTCATTGCCGTGTAGAGCTGGTGATTTGAATCTTCTGTACAGCGTACTTCTTTTCAGAAATTTGAAGACTCATTTCATTTGCAGAGCTGCTAGTGTTGGATGTTCCTCTAATGAACTTTCCATCAGGGAAGACGATTATGAAGATCCACTGCGGGTGTAGTGCATTGATTCGTTCGTGTGCAGTCACTTCCCGGTATCTCTTTCTGAGCCTCGTGGGTTTGCGTGCTTTTGCTTTTGGAAGAAGAGTCCTTTTGATGCGCGCCCATTCTTGGACCTGAATAGTTTTGTTTTGCGGCCAAGACCACTACCGTGAAGACCTTTACTCGAGCCTGCTGCTTCTTCCATGTTGCAGGGTATTCTAATTCGATACAGTAAGCGCGGACTTTGTATCTTTCGAGTTCTTGTGATGCGTGGTCGCTTATCCGGCTTTAGGTCCTTGTGCGTAGGCCGCTGAGCTTTGAGTTCAAGCATCGTATGGTCCTGCTGCGCAGACCAACTGAGCGCCGATACATGGTATCTTCACCAGCGGAATGTACAGTCAGCCGCGTGTCAACTGTTCTGTTCTCGACATAAGGGTAAGTAAGGCATAGCTCCCCTTCTGTACTTTCAAGCTATGAGACTTCTCAACACTTGTGATTACACATGAGACTTGTAGGTATTTATATGGCACCTTGATACTTCTGGACTTGAGAGTTCGCCTTGAAAGGAAAAAGCGTCTAAGCGCTCTGCGATGGAAGTGAACTTATGATTTGCGCCTGCTGAAACGAATGCGGGTCTTGTACAGTGCCAATTCCTTATCACTGGGTACACTGACGTTATTGCCTTCCTCAAGGCTCAAGGGATCGCTCCATAGATAAAAGACACTCGCTGCATACGTCACTGCGGCGTACGTACTAGTCACTCTTTCACCCCCCACCCCCATGGCAATCCTAAGATCACAGACAAGTGCGTGTAGGCTAGGCATGCTCGGAAAAGTCTCGGTTGGGCAGAGATGTAAGCTATGGTTTTGTAGCCATCCACAAATGATTCCATTAGCCCCCCCCACCCCCCTCACCTGCCACTGGCGTGTCAAAGAGAAATATGGAGATCCGTGGTGAGCAAGTGATCATGGCTGTGGACTCTGACCTCTGGTGCCTGATTCATTTGGGCAACTCTTTCAGCAGTTTAGAGCCTCGTGGTGCGCAAGTGATCCCCATCGTTGTTGTTGTTGCTGTTGGTAGAAACCAAAACAGCCGCCCAACATAATTCGCTTAATTGTCACACGTTGTAACTTTGGAACTTCAAGGGGAAAAGGTTAGGGATACGGCTGAAGGTTTGAGCGGATGTTGGTTTCGTCAGTAGGTGGACTTGTTGGACTTGTTTCACTGAAGTCTGGGTTTTAGTGTTTTTGAGGTGTTGTTCTGGAGGGGGTCCGAAAAACAACAACGCGGCTGCAGTCTTTGTTTCTAGGAGGGGGTAGGGACAACAACACCTTTTGAGGGGGAGGCTCCAAAAAACAACAACGGGACTGCAGTTTTTGTTTCTAGGATGTGGTACAGGTACTAAGTAGAAGTTTTCAGAAGTTTAGCTGACCGATTACTACTACTACCACCACCACTACTACTACTACTACTCCTACTCCTGCTACTACTACTACTACTACTACTACTACTACTACTACTACTACTACTACTTAGTACTAGCATTGGTACAAACACTATCAATGCTGGTAAAAGTACTCGTTGGCTGGTTGTGTTCGGGGGGGTCAAAGGAGCTGTAGATGTTGTTTCCACCCCCTTGTAAAGACAAAGGAAAAATATGTCGTAACGGGGCTGCAGTTTTTGTTTATACCTTGTTCTTGTTGTTGTTGTTGTCTTTGTTTTGGTTGCCAACTTGCTTGCCGGTCCAGTCCAGTTGGCCAAGCGCAATGGGGGAAAAAAACGTGTCAAAGCCATATATAAATTCAACAAACATTGTCACAGTGCAAACTTGGGCGTTCAAAAAGTCGGGGTCTTCTTGCACATCAGCAGTGGAACTGTTGGTGTTTGTGCCCGAGAGGCCATGTTGGGAACTGCGCAGTGGGCCCATTCCCAGCCATGGCAAATTTTTGTTGACTTGGTGACCCTTAAAGCCGTTTGGGACGTTTATATATCGAGATCATGTGGAAACAATCCAGTCCCAAACGGGCACCTGTTTGGAGGTCTCCCCAGTCGCCACCTGCCACCCAAACCAGTGAGCGAGTCGTTCCCAAGAAGCCACCGAACTTGTCAACCCCAGCACCTTCCCTTCGATCGGTGTTGGCTCGCGTGGCAGTTTCTTCCTACCAGTGAGGTGGACGTGAAGAAGTCACAACTTAGAAGCGCAGCATACTATATAATAGTCTGATCTAAATCGATAAAGAAAGAGAAAAACACTTCTGATCAAGACAGATCAAGCAAACTACACAAGGAAAAAACTAGTCACCTAGGCCTAGACCTAGTCACAAAAAAACACCTCTCCCAAGGCAGGGCTTCTCGTTCCACGTTCTCGCCCGACACCAGCAGAACCTCCGCCTCGGGACTGTGGACGGTGCTGTCGGCGGACTGGGGGAGGGACCCCCTCGAGTTCAGAAGGGTTTTGGGCAAGGACCTCAGTTCTGAATGAGTTCAGAAGAAGAAGACTCCGAAAAATCATTCGAAGTGGAGTATATACAGGGAAGGGTTATTTTAATATTCCACTGTTGCGGGATCCAATGATTGTTTTTTAGATTCGGACTAGTACAAAGAATTCAATATCCAATTGTTGATAGGCCATTCACTATGGAAGAGTACAGCGAGAACACCGGTGCTCAAGAACACCCCACAACTCCAAAACGGAGGTCTCTGGGGAAGCAGATAGAACCTGAGAACCACATCGGGTTGTAGAGGAACATCGTCTTCCAGTCTGGTCCATGCCCGGTTCCATGTGGGTCTCTTCCTGTGTGTATCTTGAAAGAAATCTCCTCCCTCCCAGGTCCTCATGGTGGAAGTGGATGGCATGGCCCCAAGAGAAGGTCGACCATGTTCCGAATACCAAACAGGAGATGGTCCACGAAACCATGTGTTGTTGGTCTTGATGGAGGGTCTCCTCCAAGAATTCCCTGTAGTTGGCAGTTGACATGGATGGTGTCGCCTCAATTATCCGAACCGATCGGCAGGATCTATGCCATCGATTGGAACGAGCCGAAGCTTCACGTCTCTTCCTTTCAGGGATGCAGCTCTGTTTGCCACTCGGTGTCACGTTCGTCTACGTCTACGTCCCGGGCACGGGAGCAAAAACGGGCGAACGGACGGTGGTTGGTAGACGCCGAACTGGAGCCATGGCAGCCATGTGACGACTTGGGTTGGGCTCCAAATTGGAGTGCCAATGGGCTCACAAAAAAGGTATATAAAGGGAATCAGCAATTTTGCGGGTTCAACAACTTTGATTGTTGATTTTGTTGACTCGAACTGGTGACCAGACCACACACCAAACCTTCGTGCGGCCACATTTCAGTCCCCATGGGAGCTGCCACTTTGCCATACCTTCCGCTGATCTTCACATCCCTTCAGTCACCACTCCAGTCTTAGAGGAACCCACCACAACTGGTGTACATCCTTTGGATGCCCAATGACCACCTCCCTCAACCCCCAAACCCCCAACCCCCACTTCTTCTTCAAACCCCGCTGAGGTGTGGACTTCCCCTCCACCTTGACACCAGCCATGTCCGCCGCGCCCCAAAGCGCCGCGCCCGGCGACGTCTTCGTGTCGGAGGGCGAGCTCCGCTGCGCCTGGGATCAGGCGGTCCGGGTCGATGGAGAGTTTTGATGATGTGAATCCCCTTCCGCGCAAGCTTGCAATCCTCTCGCTGCGAGCACGACATGCGCACTCCAACTGCACTCCTCAGGTGGGTTGGCGAACGCAGCTGAAACTGCCACAGGTTATCTTACCTGACAAGGCGGGAGAACAAGTGGGACTTTGGCAATTTTCCTTTACAAACCAGTGGTTTTGGGGTTCCATGTTAGGGGTTCCCCGATTGTTCTCCACATATGTTGAGGTGAGGGAGAAGTTGCTTGATTTGTGTGGTGGATCATTAGAATCAAAGACTTGTCTATGGAGGTGCCTGCAACCAAAACCTGCTGTGGTGGATACTGATAGTCCAATCTTCCACACATGCGGATAACCCCAAGAAATCACACAGATGGATCTTTGGAACGATGGGATCTCATACATTTCACTGGTTTTTTCCAGCCAAGCAGCCGTCACATCGTCCAAGGTGGGCCGTTACATCGTCCGTGGTCCAACTGGATCACGATTTGTTCATACCTATCCATTACAATTGTTTATCGATTCAATACCTCATGGATCCTTCTCCAACCACCCCGAAAATTGTATAAAACAGTCTTGTGTTTCTAATTCACCGTAGTACACCCTCCCTTTGAAAAAACGTTCCCTTTGAAAGACCTTGACATGCATGTATCAAAAGGAGCACGGGGGGACACCTCCCTCCAACGTCCGTGGATGGTGACATGGATGGCATGGCCCCGAAACAATGACCACGTTCCGAACATGTTTGCTGGAGCGGGGGTATACCCATTCCATCTACCGCTCCAGTCGCACCTTCGTGCAACGAAGGTGGGATTCGGGTGGATGTGCACCAGGAGGGTCCAGTGGTACCTTCTATAAGGAGGTACGACCAGAGCCCTAAAAGTGGGCTCGAGGTACAGGCGCAGCCTGGAAGGCTGGCGCGCCGTCTATGCCCGGAGGCCACCTGCCGCTGGCGCCCCCGCCGTCGGCGACTGGAGCTCCTGCTGTTGGAAGCCAGTGGAGGGCTGGACTCTGCTTGAGGCGGGGTTTGGGGAACATGTTAACATTCACTGGAATCGTAATCTTTGATGGGTTCAAGCAGTTCATGCAAAGCCACCAAGGTTTGTTTGCAGAGATGTGGTTTTCAGTGTAAACATGACATTTGCATCCATCCATAGGATCACTATGACATTTGCATCCTGGGTTCATTTGCATCCTGAATGCGTTGTTGTGAGCAGACCTCTACGCGCTTGAATGGTGTTGCTGCGTAACGCTGTTGAGCTCCCAAGCAAATATAGGGCGACATTGATTTCTTGTAAGAACCGGTGCTCATTCTCACTACGAAGCAAGCAAAATCAGCCCAAACAAATCGGGCGCAAAACGTCCAAGTATAAAACCCAGCACCCGGTCTTCACTTGCACAACCTAGACACAGGAGGATCTTGAACAGATACACTATGATATAGTAGGAATAATCTTTGTTTTTGTTGGACCCATCATTGCCCACATCCAGTCACAGTCCGTGCTATGGCGTGGCTCCTCGCGGTCTTTGCTGTCGCACTACTTCTCGGCGTCGTCTCGGCGGAGCTGCGGGTCGAGCGCGAGCCTCGCAGCTCGACAATGCTTCGGTATCGTTGCAAACGTTGAATTCGCCAACGTGTGAACATGACATCAGCGATGCCCCTTGAATCACAATGCATTGCTGCAATTGTGTAGAATTTATCCTAATACACGGCATCCCCCACTCATCTCCTCATTGTCAAGAAGTGCCGTTACACTAATCCCTGTGATTCGCAGCTTGGGCCGCAGTTTTGAGGTCACGCGCCCAGATCAGGCAATCAGGATGATGTTCAGGCAAGCCTGTGTCAAGTTCTTACAGGAAACCTGCGTAAATTGCACAATTCATAGCAATTCACATCTCAGATGTAGCTAGCCAATATCACAGCCAACAGTCAGCCCACACTCATTGGATTTTGCATGCTTTCGTTTGTTTGGAAGGACTGTGAAGCGATCAGCTGGGCAGATCTTTGTGAACGTCAGTTGATTTCTGGTGATTGCTTTCAGCTCCAGTGTCTCGGTTGCAGCTATCACAGATGGTGCTTCAGTAGCTAGGATGGCAGCACCATCAGTGATTTAATGTTTGATTTACGAGAACTTCTTTCGACATGTCGATGTACTAAATATTGATGTCAATCAACCGCAAGGCAAACCTTTCATCCACCAATACTTCCACGTTCTTGGCCGTTTCTACCCAAAACATCATGTCTTTGTGGCTGCCCATCCTCGAATAGTTCCGACTACATTCCACTACAAAATCAACTTCTACGCTTTCTGGGCAGTTGTTCTGCATATTTCTCCCTTGAGTAGCAGAGTCACTTACAAGTCTTGGTCGTGCCATGAACCTACCACTGTTGACAACTTCCGAGGAAAGTCTTTCAGCCTCATTTAGTAGCGTCCGATCGCTCCGTTCGTAGCGATACCCTTTGTTACTATAGTAGCTTCTTGTTACTAGCGGTACGGCCAGGAGCTATGTTCGTAGCGTCCTCTTGCTCTCAGTTTTCCCTTTCGAGGCCCGGCACATCGCCTGCGATGCGCTGCCAGCTGCGCGGACCCGCGTCGGCCCATGCTCCGCTGCGGCCGGCACAGCTGCGCGCAGCAGCACAGGGTGTGGTGACCACCTGTGGGACGCCAGGGGAGCTACGCATCACCGGGTCCCATGGCTGCGCCCTTTTGCAGAGTTGCGACTTTTGTGTGATTTTCCTGGTGCTGGCATGGTTGGAAAGTCTTTGGAGATTCCGCAACAATACCTACCGCCACCAAAACATTGGTAGGTTGACATTTTTTAGCAGGTGCATGTGAACCAGACTTTTGAGAGTGGATGCAGTCGCTGCTGTTTTCGCCTGATTTTGAGAATTTGTTCGCAGATGTTGCGTTTCACTGGCCGTTTGCGTTTAATGGTTTCTTCAACCCATTTGCTGCTTGTGAAGTTACCGTGCAATGATAGTGCCTGTCCAAAACCTGTGATACCAAATTCAAGACTTGAATCCAACCAAGTCCATCCGATAGGCTTCGTGTTGATAGACATTCACTTTGCAGATACTTCTCAGATGTTCTTAGTTTGGCATGGCGAGCCGGAATGTTACAAAATGCACTGGGGGGATGAGCAACTTGCCATTGCGGCCAAGGCAAATCCAGATGATTTCACTCCGCCTTGAAGCTGAGATCCTTGACAGCGGTGAAATAGAAGAATCCTTTGTACAGAGTGGCGCAAAAAACATGTTGCATGCAGGTTTGCACTACATTGTTTTGACTGCATATGGGCAAGACCGTGTTGGAATCAAGTTTGCCATTTAGTCGCAGTGGACCTATTGATCTCAGTTGAATTTAGGACCATTGTCTTTGAAGATGCTCAAGTGGAAGCGTGGCATGAAACTCCAGATCTCTCCATCGAAACGGGCGGCGCATTTCACAGCGAAGGGCCATTGACCTTGACAAGATCGAATCTCACAGCTCCTTGGACTACCTGTTTGAACTGAGGCTGAGGACTCCGCACCACACCATCTCACACCACACCTCATACCTCTTGCATTCAACCTGTAGACCGGACGATTTGGACTGCAGGGGACTGGGCACGTCGCCTGTGCCGAGTGCACGGTGCAAGTCCAAGGTCAAAACCACTGGAGCAAAGAAGGGTGGCGGCCTTGCAGCAGTGGATTTGATTCTGGGCGGCAAGAGTTTATTGGGTGGTGGTTTGGACTATGTTTGACTTGCCATTTCTGCTTGGAAAGTTATCCCAATTGACACGTCTTTTGGGCAAAATGACTGAATCCCCTTGGATTGGCGTTGACCAATCATCAATAGAAGGAAACGTATGGAAAAGTAACTCCACTTCCTTCAACCATGTTTTGGACATCAACTCAAGTATGACTCTACAGTGCATGTCCTTCGATGCGGATTGTTGATGTCGCGAGTCAGCGCTGAGGATTTTGGTTTCATCAAGCCTTCAAGTGCTGAATGCTACAGCGTTTGATTCTGGCGGTGGCTTTTACGGAAAGGGCACATTGAGACTTGGCTAGCGACCAGCAAAGAGTAGAAGGCTTTAACTAGCAGAAGATGTTTGCAGCGAAGCTGGAGGGTCAAAGATGGCGGTGCCGATTGAAAGAGGGCTGAATGAACTTGTTGCACGAACTTAATTAAGCACAAGAAGAATCACAAACCACATTGGTTGTGCACGACTGACAAAGAAACTCGACCAGGTGAAATAGAACAGGCCAAGGTGGTTGCTAGCACATGCCAGGCGTCAGTTTTTGCTGCCAACTCAGAAAAGAGAACACAAGATGATGAAATGTTGCTGATTGTTTCTATCTGCAATACGCCAGAACAGCAGAACACTGGAATTTGTCTTATTACATAAGACAACTCCCTGGATGCGCACTCTGGTCTTGCCCCACTTCTGATACGCTAAACTCAGTCCTTCGTATCTCAGCCGGGGAGTTTGGTTTCATCCAGCCTTCGAGTGCTGAACACTGCAGCCGGGAAAGTCTGGCGGGGGTTTGACGGAGAGGGCGCATTGAGACATGGCTAGCGGCCAGTGGACTTTGAAAAGACTGAGAAGGGTTCTGTTGGGAAGCTGGATAAGCAAAGCACAACGGTCAAATGGCAAAGGAGGAAGATACCAATTGAAGTAGGATTCGTTACAAAACTACGCGTGACGCACACACAAACCAGATTGGGGAGGTACCATTCTAAAATAGAAACGGCTAGGGATTCGACAACCAACATTTGTGCTCTCAACAGGCGCATCAGGTTCTGCCACTGACTTTGAGACAGAAGAATTAGAAATTATTGTGGCGCCAAGATTCTGGCTGTAGAAAATAGACCCTCTTTGTGTTGCTTCTTTAACTTGCAATGTGAACAATGACAATGTGCTTGAATGTGTGTCAAACAACACATCTCTTGCTGCGCACTGTTATCGACCCCGCTGCTTGTGTGCAAGGAGACTACGTGAGCTCTCCAAAGTCCTCATTGAGAACGTTGTCGCAAAGAACAGCTTCGGGGGTGGCTTTGTTGTGGAGGGTGACGCTGACATTTCGGTCCGGCTCTCAGCTCACGTGATACCGGCAATTTCTAAAACTCTCGCTTGTCTCATGTTTTTCCATGTCCTGCATCTTGCCTTGCATCTAATTACTCTTAGCTCACTTGATGTTTCCACTAGCTGCCTCAGGCTGCCTCTGCTTTTCTCTTCCTTTCTCTTTGTTCCAAGTCTTCTACATTCGCTGCCGACCTGATGGAATCGAAGCCAAATCTAATCAAAGCCGTTCTTCGTTGGCGGAGTGATTTGGCTGAGTTCCAAAACGCTATCGATGCACTCGACATGGGCATTGTCAAAGTTTCAAAAGGCACTAGCGACACATGGTGACTCACCCCATTCAACACGAACCGTTACCCCATGGCCCACCCCCATGGCACACCTTTTAGTCATGTTTAGTCCAGGAAAATTTAACCGCCGTTGGCGTGTGCCGCCGGCCTCCACGGCTGAATGCTGCCGCATGTGTGCAGAGGAGCAACGTGTCGTGAGCAAAAAAATGAGAAGGGGAGCTAGACTGGAGGCAGGGGAAGACACAAAGCAAAGGAACGGCAGGGGCTGGCCACTTTAAACCCATTCTAAGATTTCGAAAGTAGGTGTTGAGGAAAAGGGTCGGTGGCAAGAGGGTCTGTCGAGGTCTGTATGATAGACAGTGCGCGGGCAGAAGGGGTGAGGTGGGAGAGCTGCGGGAAAAACGCAAGGTCTTGTCCTATAACATGCGGTGATTGGTAAAACCGTGGCTTGATGTGACCTGTGGTTGGTGTAAACCTTGGTTTGGTGTAAAGGGTTGTTAACGGTGGTTGGTGTAAGCGGTGGCTTGGTGTACATGATGTTTGGTGTAAACCGTAGGTGGGTGTACATGGTGGTTGCTGCAAACCGTGGGCAAAGTGCTTATAAAACCATGGCGAAATGCTGTGATGCGCAGGCAAAAAACAGGCAACGCGCGCGCAGAACGACGATGACGACGACAAAGGCGACGGCGAAGACAACAACGTGCAAAGCGGGGGGGGGGGGGGGGGGGGGGGGGGGTCAAGTTAGTCGAGCCAAAAATCCGCGCAGAGGAGCAATCTAAGCGATGAACAACTTTAGTATTAGACGACAAGTACAAGTACAAGCACATCAACAAGACACGCCGGCAGGCCAGCGGATTAAAACTAGCTAACCAACTTTGGAAAACACCATGGCACAGTGCTGCCACAACAAGGACATGCCGTCTTCAAAGTTTCTGAATCTATACATGTCCGCGTTACCTGTTGAAGCGTTGTAAGGTTTGCCGTTCTTTGCAGTGAGCCCGGGCGCATGGCACACCGATTCTGACCCACATGTCACATGTTTGTATAGATTCTCTTTGTGGGATGAACTGCATGGATTTGTGTTCCGAGTTCATGGACACGTTTTGTTGGCTGACGTGGTTTTCCCTGCCCAGCCACATGGCGTAGCATACTTTTCAGTGAACTCACTTCTGACCCTTGAGCCACTACCCAAACAACGGAGATCAAAACGAGATACGAACAAGATAGGGGAATGTTCCAGGTGGAGCCTGGTCCATTCCACTGGACGTCCATTCATGCCCAAGCAAGCAAACCAATGGATCAAGCTTTCTCTTCCGAGATGCCCGCATGGCAAATTGTTCTAGTGCAGATGAAACAAGAATGGAATATCTGAAATAGTTTGGCAAGAAAGAATCAAGGTCATTTGGTATGTCAGCAGTGTGCCCTGGCGATTTGGAAGAACTCTCAATACCTGAGCAAAGTGCTAAAGGTCGGCGCTCACGTTTCTTCAAAAAAGTGCCACTTGATTTTTCCCAAACACGATACCTAGCCTTGTGACGGTACACATCTTGGAATCTATTTTTGCCTTTTGACATTGTTGACACTCGACACGGTGTATGTCCAAGTGTTTTTTTGCATTTGTTTTGCCATGCTAGTTGGACATTCCATTTTGTGTTTGCTCATTTTCCCTTCTGTTTCTTCGATGGGAAACAATTATGGGTTTAGACCGATACCAAAAACGATATCAAACGATACCCACTTCATAGGTCTGTATGCCCTCAGAAGCCACATGCCCACTTACATGCCACTACTACTGCCACTACTTCCACTTCTGCTTCTGCTACTACCACCGCTACCACCACCACCACCCACCACCCACCACCCACCACCACCCACCACCCCTACTACTACTACTACTCCTACTACTACTCCTACTACTACTACTACTACCACTCCTACTCCTACTCCTACTACTACTACTCCTACTACTACTACTGCTACTACTGCTACTGCTACTGCTACTACTGCTACTGCTACTGCTACTGCTACCACTACTACTACTAAAACTAAAACTAGGTACCGCCGCTAATAGCGACCCTGTGCGAATCGCACAGGGCCGAAGTGGACAGTGCTCAAAGCCTCCCATTTTTCAGTTTTTCATTAGGGAGAGGTTGGATCATATGTGGTTTCATCCCATTTTTTAGAAGGGACGGCACTTGTAACGTTGAATTTAGAATGGGGAAGAGCAGAAAGGGCACTCTTGTTTGGCGCACACGCGTTTTGCAGGTGTATGTTCTCTTTACACTTGCGGCCACGTTCGGTCCAACGCCTCAAGCAAATTTCCTCTGTTGTTCCACCGAAACTGAAAACTGCGGACATATTGGTCGACGCGTTTTGCGTCACGCTGTCCTAAACCTTTGCGGGTCGCCAGACTGTATGGCACATATTTCTTCACTTGTCGCCAGACTTCGTGACGCAAGTGCAAGCGAACGTTAACATGCCCCACCCCACCCCACCCCACATCAACCACGAAGCATCAACTTCGTGACGCAAGTGCAAGCAAACGTTAACATGCCCCACCCCACCCCACCCCACCCCACATCAACCACGAAGCATCAACTTCGTGACGTAAGTGCAAGCGAACGTTCACGTGCCCCACCCCACCCCAACCCAACCCGACACCACCAAAATAGCGATTTCCTCTGGGGTCGCTAACAGCGGCGACAGCTAAAACCACTACTGCTGCTGCTTCTACTACTACTACTACTACTTCTACTTCTACTACTACTACTACTACTACTACTACTACTACTACTACTACTACTACTACTACTACTACTACTACTCACTACTACTACTACTACGTCTACTACTACTGCCACTGCTACTGCTACTGCTACTACTACTACTTCTACTACTACTACTACTAGTTAGTACTACTTCTACTACTACTAACAACTACTACTTCCTACTTCCTACTTACTATTCTTCTTGCTACTTCTACAGCTAACTTGCATGTAGATGATACCTCCGAAACAAAATGATTTCAATAAATGATAGCAATCCCAAAAGCTATACCTGCCTTAAAACTACCCACCATTGACCCTAGGTTTGCCGGTCGCTCGCCTCTAATGAACCAACAACATACATATACACAAGAGTAGCGCAAGAAAGCTTTCCACCATGGGCACACATCATCCAGCACAACTTTTCCCGCTCAAGACAAGTTAACCCGTGAACCCAGTACGTTGTCTTAATTGTTTGTCGAGGTTCTACGCTGGTGTGCCCAAGGAAAACCGCAATTCAATTTTGTTTTGGACGCCTTTTGTTGATGGGACAATTAATGATCTTCTATTTTGCGGTGCCTTCTCAGTCTGGTGGCTTTGATGTTTGGTTCGGAGTGCAGCGCCAAGAAATCGACACTACTTTTGCCAGGAAAATATTTGTTCATAGGTCATCCATCGCATCTCCACACCAAAAAGTGCATGCCCTCGTCTAAGTCGCTTTGATTGTGTGTTGCAAACATCCTTTCATTGTCCTCTGGTAGATAATAGGGCACACCTTTGCTGTGTCCAACATTGCTATCCTTTCGTTCCCTTTTGTTGTTTTTGTCAATGGATGTTGTGTTTTGGTTTTCTTTGCGGGCGGGCTGCCTGATCCGTTTGCCGCCCTGGTCTCTTTTTCATTGTTCACTGAGAATATGTGAATATTTGTTCTGATTTGTCCCGAATGCGCAATGCGTAGTTCTCGTTTAACTTCGGGAGTCTGAGGGTAGAGCGTTGTTCGCGTTGCGTTGCTTTCATGCCCGCAACCGTCTGCAACAGTTCGCGACCGGGGGAATTGAGAAGGCCCTGCTGTTGGGGAAAGGTTTTGAAGGATGTGTTTTGGATGGAAGGGTGCGGTGAAGTGTCAGACCCATGCCAAATATATGTAACATGAGGAAGTGGTACTGTGGCGGATGATTTTGCTGCGTATATATATAGGTGCAGCGTTTTGTGAGATCATCTGTTGCCTTCCCTGTGCCATCCGGATTGGTGTTCCCAAAGTGTTTTTGGAGGTGTTGAATGTGGCTGTGCCATTCGGATTTGCGCTTCAGGGTGTTACTTCGAGCTGTGTTTTCGCCACACGTCTCAGCTAAAATTCACTTTTTGGGGATGTGAGTATGCTCCGAAAGATCATTCTAAGCGTGTGGTGTGGTGCAAGTTTTGCTGAAAACATGAAGATGTGATGTAGTAACTTTTCGTGGCAGGCACAGGACGCTTTGTTTTGGGGAGCGAAGATGTGGCGGGTGGAGTGAATCATGTGTGAGACTGACTGGTGGAGGTGTGCCATTGGGATTGGCATCCGTCGGGGGTCTTCGTGCTGATGTTGCTGCGTCTTGTCGCAAATGCGGGTTCATTGATCATTTGTGATTGGTTTCTGAGACGCCACAGTGCAATACAGTGGAGCACTTGGTTGGCCCTTTGTTTCCCAGGTCGTATAAGCTTAGTTTGGGCAGATGTATTTCCCGAATCTATTACAAAGGGTGCTCAAGGGTAGAGCATTCTTCGCCTGACGTGGTTTTCATGTCCGCAACGGTTCGCAAACGTTTGAATGCGAGGTCGACTTATATAGTGCCCTGCCGCTGGGGGAAGCTTTTGCAGGAGGTTTTTGGATGAAAAGTGTCAGATTCGTGCGCAGTAGCATAGAAATAGTTGCCTTCGCTGTGCCATTAGGATTGGCGTTCGCAGGGTGGTTTGCTGTGCCATCAGGATTTGCGCTTTAGGCTGTTGCCTCAAAGCTGTGCTTTCGTGACGCCTTTTTTAGCGGATGTGAGTGTGAGTGTTGGAATCATTCCAAATGTGTGGTGTGGCGCAAGTTTTGCTGAAGATGTGATGTATAACATTTCGTGGCAGGCGCAGTGTGCTTTGTGCAGGTTGAATTCCGGTGGCAGGAGCATGGAGTCGTTCGGTGGTGCGGTTTGGTGGAGCTGAATGTTGCTGTGATTCGTTGTGCCATTAAAGTTGGCGTGTCAGCGGCCGTGGCATTGAGGAGCTGGGGTTGCGAAACTGCTTGGCACGATTGCTTCATGTCATGTGTCTGAGAAAGTCTCGTGCAAAACGCTCCTTGTGGAGACTGTGATGCGTGACTTATGTGGAGGAAGTCTCGAACAAAAAACAATTATGGGAAATGCAGGTTTTGGACACTTGACAGGTGACTTTTGGAGGAAGTTTCCTACACCAAACGCATGTTTTGGAGACTGGACGCGCGTGTTTTGGAGCAAGACTTGTGCGAAACGCTGACTTGACATTCTGTAGGATTGTCGTCAGAGGGCGCCCTACAAGAGTGTCTCACAAGAGAGTGCCGTACAAGAGCGTCCTACAACAGTCCACAAGGGAGTTCCCTTCAAGAGTGGTCAACAAGAGTGTCCCACAAGAGTGTCCCACGAGGGAGTGCCCCTTAAGAGTGTGCTATACAAGAGTGTCCCCGAAGAGTGTCAGTGTCATTACTGGTTGTTTTCGATTGTGCGTGTGCATTCGGGTGCGTGGGTTCCATATTGTTTCTATTGTTGATCCCTGTCGAACATTTTTCCCAGAGTGTTGGCGTTGCCGATCTGCTGGTATTACTGTTGCTCTCCTAGATGTGCAAGTACCACACTTGAGACTTGTACCTTTGCAGTGTTCCTACAGTTGCCGACGTGGAGATGCAGAGAGTAGGTTGCTTTGTGATGTCGGGTAGTTCCGACGTAACTACTTTCGCTACAGTTTGATGTTGCCTCAGTAAACGTACCTGGAATATAATACTGTTGTTTGCTGTGGGGTCTTGCTTTGGTGGTAAGCACCTGCAAAGAAGAAACCATCTGCGCGCGTTTCTCACATCTCCGCGCTTTCTATCTATAGTTTTTCTTCGTCGGCGCCTCTGGCCGGATAGCTAGGACTTGCGGAGCGTGACGCTCTGCGTATCGGATGCTCAACCGTGAAGTGACACGCAAATTCAATTCCGAGGAACCTTCTGCGGGGTTCGTGCGTGTTGGATGTTCAAACGTGAGGTGGAATGCGATATTTGTTCGTGGTGTCGGTGATCCCTTTATGGACATTGTGCATGTGGTGTTGCCAACGTAGGTAACTGCCGTCAGAAATAGGAGATGAAACTGGAAGTTGCCAAAGTGAGTAACAGTCGTCAAAAACAATGGTGGAAGTTGCCAAATGTGTGTAACTGTTCTCGAAAAACAAGGTGGGAATTGCCAAATGGAAAGTGTGCGCTATTAGTCGTCGAGAAGACGCAGGTTGAAGTTGCCAAAGTGTGTAGCTGCGAAGGTGGAAGTGCCAAAGTGCGCAACTGTCGTCAAGAATGAAGGTGGACGTTGCCAAAGTGTGCCCTTCAAGATGACGGTACGAGTTGCTGTTTGACAGGTTTCAGAGCACCTGCCGTATAGAAGTATACATAGTAAATGTCAGTGTAAACGTCCTTTCTTCCGTCTGCCAAGTGCCCCCCCTGCGAATAACCTCTTTCCCTGGTTGCAGAGCAGTTCCACAAAATGCAACGCATGAATGGAGCATTAAAACGCTAAGTTGTATATGTTTTTCAACGCTCCCGGCCATTCGTCGTCTAGTTTGTTTAATGATGTTGTTCTTATTAAGTTGAACGATCCCTCACCCCCAGGACAGTGGGTTGATTGACATCAAGAATGCCAGTTCTGGTCGTGGTGGTGGTGGCTTTTTTGCCCGGAACTTCGAGTTGACAAATCATTCAACACTACGCGTTCAGAATGCCACAGCTGAAGGGTTCGGTGGAGGATTCATTGCATCCAACGGCGCTGTTATTGCAGGCAACTCAACACTCAACCTTCAGACGGTGAAAGCTGAGACACATGGAGGAGGGTTCCTGTGTGAAGCGGTTGATATAGGTGGAGGCTCGACAGTAAAGATTTCCAACAGCCACGCAGAAACCGCAGATGGGGGAGGTTTCAGCGCTCTAACAACGTCGAAAGTATCCAATGGTTCTTCTCTCATCATTGTGAATGCAACAGCACGAAATGGTGGAGGATTCGTTTCCAATGATGCAGCGATTTGCAACTCTACCGTCACCATTCAGCATGCTACAGCTACAGCATTCGGTGGAGGTTTCCTTGCACTCGAAGGGGTGGTGATTGATGAAAAGTCGAATGTGAACATTTCTGATTCAGCAGCCTTAAATGGCGGTGGTTTTCATGGGGACAGCCGTTTGCAGGTGACAAACCAGTCAACGCTCAACCTTCAAAATGTGAAAGCTCGCAATCAAGGAGGTGGGTTCAATTTCCTAGGAGAGGTCGATATAAGTGGAGACTCGACAGTGAAGATTTCCAACAGCGAGACAAAATCTGGAGATGGGGGAGGTTTCTACGCACTAAAAGGGTCAAAAGTATCCAATGGTTCCTCTCTCCTCATCGTGAATGCGACCGCACGCAATGGTGGAGGATTCGTTTCCAAAGATATAGCTGCGATGTGCAACTCTACTGTCAGCATTCAGCATGCTACAGCTAGAGAGAGCGGTGGAGGTTTCGTTGCATTTGACGGGGTTGTGATTGATGAAATGTCAGTTGTCAGCATTTCTGGAGCAGTAGCAGGAGCAGGCGGTGGTGGCTTCTCTACGTCTAACCCAGACAAACGTTTGCAGGTGACAAACCAGTCAACACTCAACCTTCAAAATGTGAAAGCCAAATTCGGCGGAGGAGGTTTTCTTTCCCAAGGAGAGGTCGAGATAGGTGGAAGTTCGGCCGTGAAGATTTCCGACAGCCACACAGACTTTGGAGATGGGGGAGGCTTTGAAGCAAGAAAGGAACTAAGAGTCTCCAACGGCTCCACCCTGGTCATTCGGAATGCAACAGCAGGAGGACTGCTTGGTGGAGGATTTTATGCTGGTGGCAAGGTTGCTGTGCGCAACTCAACAGTCAGCATTCAACATGCGGCATCAGGACAATATGGTGGAGGTTTCTTTGCTAATGGTGGCATAGCCCTTGTCGATGCATCTACAGTTGCTATGTCCGACACCCATGCAGGGGTAGATGGTGGTGGTTTCAAGGTTGCCACTGTGCTGGCGATCCACAATAGCTCAATGTCAATGGCCAACTCTACCGCCGCGCGGACAGGCACTGCAGGTCACGTGGATGGTCAGGTGCTTCTTTCTTCTCAGTCCAGTTTGGACATTCATCAAGCAAAAGGTGATGGAAACTCTGCCGTTTTGGTAGCAAGCTGCCTTCAACTCCATCCTGAGTCGAATGTTGTCCTTGACGGCATCATTGGGGGGCATGGGTTAGACTTGCAAAACAGCTGTTCCTTTTCTCCTTGCACAAACACCACCTTCCAAGTGGCAGATAGCGCAGCCCTGAGCGCAAGTGGCCGCTTGAGCTCAGGCCTTCTATCAGCAAAAGTTTGCCCTCATGAAGAGGTGCGCCTCTCAGGCATCCATTTGTGCTCTTGGAACAGTTCACTCCTCACCACACGCCCAACGTCTGTGGTGGTAGACGATGTCAGCATCCACTACCAGCCACCAGTCAACAACTTGCAGATACTAGCTGCTCAGGATCTGCCAGTCTTGCACCAACATGTTCAAAGTGTGTGTGTGTGTGTGTCACCCATTTCTAGGAGTTTGTTCTAAAAAGTTTGTTTTTCTTTTTCTTCACAACGACAGTGCAGGGGGCTCACGGGTCTGTTCCTGGCGTGAGCCAACGAAGCTCCAGGTTCAGACTAGGATATCGAAAGAGGACGCACATTCGACGCACCTGCGCTCAACTTTTGTCCAAGCTGTTCCACTCTCGGTTTCCTTCCATGGTGGTTACCCACGCTACTCCCCTACAGTAAATAGGTTTCCCTCCGCCGCTTTCAGCTGCCGCATATTTTCTGCAGACAAGTGAACAGATTGTTCAACACTTCAATTGCGCTGACCGCTTCACCTTGCGTTTCCCACATCCATTTCACTGTGGACTATGACACTGAAAACCCTGTAACTAAGTGTGTGTGCTTTGCTTCACAGCAAGGATATACCATATGCCCTGTGCCGCAAAAATACCAAAGGCACATGCCATAAATCTCAGCCCTTCCCAAATCTACGTGAAATGTCAAATGTTGAGCCATCACTTCCCTGCAACATCCAGGATAGCACGCATCGACCCTTGCCCAGACATATCCACACTCCCCTGCAGGACAGCTTCAGTATCGACTCCCTGGCCATTTCATGCCCGGACTGTCCGCAGGGAGTGACCTTCAAAGCAACAGAGGACGGAATCTTGCAAGCTCTGAGCCCAGAAGACCTCCAATGCTCCAAGACCTTCACGGTGCCACTTGGTGAAAACAAGAGTTTGCTATATACTCCTTGCACAGTCTTGAATCACTCCTTAAAACTTGAGGAAATGTTCAGTAGAAGTTGCTGTACAAGATCAGTTGGGATGGGTTGAGATTTGGCACCACAACCCGGGATTGCTGAAAACACTGGCCGGCTTTGAGGTCCAATAACATGACGCCACGTTGTCATTGCAGAGACCCCCAGATTCTCGGAATCGATCAGTCGTACGAATCATATGCCATGTGCATATGCAATCCTTTTTATTGTGGCCTTTGTTGATTCTTTGCCTAAAGTTTAAAGAATCCTCAGAAACTCTTAGCTTATTTCACACTGGTGGACTTGGGCGATGATCATTTGAAGGTCTCCCCTTGTCTTGTCTATTGTCAAAGAATCCGAAAGACCAACTATGTCTCAGTGGACTGGATACCGTTGGAAACACATGGCTGGAAACACATTACCTGCAAGACAAAAAATCATACAAAGTTATATGTTGGCTCTCCTGTTGTGAGGGGACCCTGATTGACTTGAAGTTTCTCGAACACATCGAAGGATCACCAACGAGGACTTTGGCAATAGAAAGCTAGTGTCTCTAAAGGAGGTTTTCCAGACGTGCATGTTCTGCAACTCGCTCGCAACTGGTAGACTGATATGCATGTGATGATTGCAACGACCATTAATATGCACAAGGATTGCTAATATATCTCGTTTTAGATTTCCTCTATGGAATCAGGGAACGCGTGCAGTGAAAATGACCATTTCATAATGAGAAATTCTCTCTATAGAATCGAGCCACTGACATTGCCATAGTCTAAGAGAAGCAGCTGTTCATTCACGACCTTGGCGTAGTTCGAACTATTTGACATGGGATGTCAGATTTTATACTATCCGTGAGTATCAGCACGGTCACGGTCACAGGGGGGTTGCATTTTTTGTAGTGATTTTGTTGCTGTCGGAGGTGTGTTTCTTTAGCCTCTGGGCTCAAAGAAGACTGTTAACGGAAAGAACAAACAGACAGATGAGCAATGATGAGCATAGAATCAAAACCAGCACCAGGAGAGAAAGATGATCCTTGCGCTTTTGGTTTGGACGTTTTTGCATCAAGCTTGCAAGTTTACGTCAAGTACGTAACCGTACCGTTGTCGGAGACACCTTTTTCACTATTGTAGAATCACAGGAATTGTTGATATTTTATTGTTAGGTTTTCTTCTCTGAGATGGGGGATATCATTTTTAAGTCTCCGGATGTTCATGTATAGTTCTCGTTAGGTGCTCTTTCCCGACTAAGGCCTAAGGCTGTTAGATTTTATAGCGTTGTCATGAGGCCCAAACTTAGATTTTATAAGGACCATACCTGGGGGAGACAACTTAATATACTATAGAATGGGTATCCCCCAGTGACTGGGTGAATTTCGAAGAGGTTGTTCATATGATGTTGTAGCAGAAGTGATGTAGATCACAACTACAACCGTGATCACTGATTGTTCTGTGTTCCCTGCGCTCCTCAGGTAACAGGCACTCCTACTTCCAGGATGGCATATGTCTCCCTTGTGAGATCTACCGAGGTTGGTCTGATGGCGAACGTGACGTGTGCCATTGGCTGCCACGCAAAAAGCTTGAGCGTGTAATCCTGATCACAGGTGCAGCAGTGTTGGTGATCCTGACATTCATCGTGTTCGAGATCCTTCACGCTCCTTTGGTGATTCTTGATGCCAGGTCTGATATGGAAGACCCGTCGGACATGGCAGCCAAGAAGATCTTCACTATCTCTGTGCAGGGTCCTATCGCCAGCCTTCCGAAGAGCATATCTCAACTGGTGCACAAGAACATCCATTATCGGGCAAGCGGAACCGATCTACAGTGGCTGGATTTTGATCCACAAAAGCCGAAGGCAATCAAGGTTTGCAGCTTGGCACGGAGGAAGCTTTTGCTTCAAGATGCACACGTGCCAGTTGATTGTGCTTCCTGCAGGGGGTCGCTGGACGCTACCGAGACGTCTTTCCTCTTCACCCTCCTCATTGCCTTGTTTTTTGTGCTTGCAATGCTGCCCACCATGATCATCGTCACAGTCATGTCTAGGAATGGCTTTGAACATACCTTTGTCACTTGGAGAGTAAGTGGAAAGTATCGTTGAGATTTGTTTGGTTACCTTGGTGGGCCCGTGGCTGTATTCTATTTATTTGTCACATCCCAAAAAGGTCACTGCTGTATTCGTTCTTGCGCTTCCAATGGCGGTTGTGGCTGCAGTGCTGCACTGGCCGCTGGCATGGCTCATTCAACGCCTTTACCGTATAACGCCCTTCTCAGAAGCTTTGGATGCCTACCAGAAACGAATCCACTGCAATCCTCATCCAGGGCCCGATGCAGCCCATCCTCACAACCAGGGCCTGTTGGTTCCTACCATGCATGGATTGTGGAAACACTTTGAGAGTTTCTGAACCTTCTGATCAGGTAAGCTTTCATTGATTTGTTTCATGTATTTATACTGTTTTCCATTTGAGGCGGAGGATGTTTAAAACAGGAATTCGGTCTATTCCAGATGCAATGTGTGATCGGTGTTGAAACACAACACAATTCTCCCAACGATCTGGATTTGCGGGGCCTCGTGAGGCTTCATTTTGGAGCGGAATATGCACTTTGTGGTGGCCAATATTGTAAGGCCCTTGACGAAAAGCAATGGTGTGTCCTTCGTGACTCTTTGGGGTGGCAGGCAAGTGGATTACTTTGTGTGTCTTTGATGCAAAGCTGATTGCTGGGTGTGGTTGTGCAAGAGTTGAATCACTTGCTTCGATAGTCGAGGGAGAGATGTACATCAACTTGCCAGCTTTTTAGAGTGAACGTCGAATCTAGTTTGTGTCATAGGCGGTAGTCCTTCACCCTTCGACCATCTAAAGAAGGTAGCCCAGAGACCAGCACATCTTTTCATATGTCGAGTCTTACACTCTGACTCAGGCTCCAAGGATGTTTTTTTTTGTCAGAGGTAACAGTCTTCCTTTCAGAGCCATGTGTCGGGTGAACGTGCATCGATTCTCCCGCAGAAATCCGAGGTCACATTCCTGGGGCACGAGCTTCTGTCATTTCGTGCGTTCCATCCGCTGCCATGCCCTCTCCAAGGAAGGCCCTACATCTTGGATGGATGCAGCTTATTGGATTTGTTCTTTTGTCACTTGGACCTGAACTTTGTTTCAGAAATTATTGGCCCTGCTGTATTTCAGATCAAGTCTGAATGAAGCGAAAAGTGTGCATCTGCATGTTGGAGTCTTTTGTATGCTGCGACCGGGGTGTGTTCGTGTGTGGTTGTATTGTATTACACTTACACCAAGCTCAAGGTCTCAATTGTTTTCATTCTCCATGCTGCAAAGGCTGACAGTTTCTCCATACTGTAAGGCTGACAGTTGAGATTTGCAGTCTCCCAAAAATGGATGTAGGGAAGGGTTGCTTTCATTGCTTTCATTCTCCACACTCTCCAGGCCAACAACCAGTGGAATATCGGAGCTGAACTGGCCGACAATCCCATGGATAGCGCTTTTGCAAGGGCCTTGAGGGGTGGCATTAAGGGAGTTGCCATGGTGTTGGATCGCGAGGTGCAACCGCTCACACGAGTCTCGACAGCACGGGAAAGAAGCACGTTGACAACAGTGGGCATCCTGTACTGTAGGGCTGCAACTACTGTACCGTTGTTGCGAAGGTATTTGGGGTTAAAGGGTCTAAGTACAATCTCAGGAAGTACCTGGAGGCTTACGAGTTGCATGTTCCTACCTCATGAAATGTGGCATACATAATGCAGAAGAAAACCATCATAGACCTCAGCGTTGCTGTAGTAGTTGGCTAAATGTGCTTGAATTTGCGGCAAACTAGTTCTTTGTTCCTTTATGGGGGTCTATGTGGGAGTTTATGTAAAATTGGATCTGCTGCTTTTGATGCTGCGTAGGCAATTCTGCTTTGGGGCGCAGTAGTAGGCGTTGGTGTAGGCACACATAACTAGCATATACTAGCATTGTTTCGCGTAGGGCAGGATGACGTAATTATGAATTGCGACTTAGAGTGGGTACAATAACCTTCGTTTGCGGGGTAGTTGAGAAATATGAGGAAGTAGTTCGTTATCAAATGCTCTCGTAGAGGACTACATACTCACATGTATACTCACCGAGGGTTGTGTTGCAATGGGGGTTTGTACAGCTTTATCGAACTCGCCATAGTACGATATTACCGGTGTGTAATGGTCTAAAAGTAGGCCCTGACTTGCTTCAGAAGGGATTGGCCCATTGTGGCATGTGCTCCATTTGCAGTAGACAGTGCCCATTTGAGCCGGTTGGCAGCCAAACGAACTTGTGCGCAGACATATTATGGCACGGGGGGATGATGTCGCTGAGCCATGAGGTTTGGCGAGGCCTGGGTTGAACGTTTGTTTGCGTGGCATTGTAACCATGCGTGTGTAAACGTTGCTTGTCGCTGGTGAGCGTTAAGTTATGATTGGTGGTGTCAGCAAGTCGTCCTTGGTGGTGTCAACGAGACTTTGCTGAAACCAACCTGGCAAAGCCAGTTCCAAGAATTGCTGGCTTCTGGGTAAAGCATGCAAAATCTACTGGAACACTGAAAAATGTATGTCCAAACACCTGTTACTATCAAGCGACCACAAGACCATTGCACCTTCATATGCGGAACAGCTGAGGAGTTTGGTGCTTGTTCGAGTTCCTCCTGTCCAGTCAGGAGCAACTGGAGCTGGTCTTCGCTACTGACGTGGGAGTCGTGGGTGACGACGCTTCGGTCGCATTGAAGTGGCGCACAATGGTTTTGCTTTGTTTGGCAGTCGCAATCGCATGCAGCTGTGGGGGACGGATGTGGACGTGGAACCATATATGCTATGTAGATACCCCCCATACCCTCTGCTTAGATGATGTGTTGTTCGCTAATGACATAGCACTTAGCAAAGGATTCATGATCCATATCATTTCTGTTATGTTGAAAGGTATTTAAGCTTGCGTTAAAGTCATGTATCATTCGATATAATTCGTTTCCCCCTAAAGTTTTACATGGTCAGCCAGCTACCTTTCCTACCTATGTCAACTGAGTTGTCAGTAGGCAGCAGGTTGCTAACTACTTAGCTAACAACTTAAGCACAGAGTTGTTTGAACAATTGGGATTCAAAGTTTGGAGAATGCGCTGTATCTTGTTTTCTGAAGAATTTGTTGGACAACTCATAGGTGTGACTGTATAGTTCTGCTATCACTTTCTCACCATACCGTTGCCCTTTGAGTATCAAGAAAAAGTTCGCATGGTAGCGGAGCAAGGATAAGGGAAACCCCCTTTGAGCTCCAGAGAAAAGCCCCTAGGTCACTGGGATGCCGGGAGCGTTTCGAGCCATAGATTTGCCGCCTTTGGAACCCAAATTGCTGAGCTGTTGCGAGCTGCACTCTGTACCCCGTGCATTGTGTGAGAAGGACAATGTTGTTCGGGAACGATGGAAGAGATAAGAGAAATCCTTGAAGTCGTAGCAAAGAGCACGCAAGCAACAGCATCAGCAGCAGAGGCAGTAAAGAAAGCAGTTGAAGACCAGAAGACAACAACAACTTATTGGTCGAAGCTGTTCACAAAGCCCTACTTATTCGATTACAAGTCACAAGAAGAAGAGATCAAAGCGTTCAGAGAGTGGTCATGGTTACTTGAGAAGTATCTAAGCTTAGCGGATGAGGCTTACATGAAGGACTTGAAAGAGATTCATGACAAGCCCAACGAGAACTTTGACATAGACTTGGCAACTACAGAGGAGAAAGCCAGGTGCATATCAAGCTCTATGGATTGCTATAGCTTCGTTGATGAGGGGCAGGGCACTACAATTGGTTAAAGCTGTGGAGGGCTCCAGTGGATTTGATGCCTGGAGGAGCTTAAACAGGGCTTTGAAACCCACATCAAAGGCTAGAGGACTAGCACTTTTGGGAGCAGGCACTACATGGCTAGCATTTTCGATGAAGAGTGCTCTACAACCTCAGCTCCTTAAGCTTCAAGAAGTATTCGATGAGACGGTCAAGTCAGGGACGGCAATTCGGGAAGAGTTGAAATCTGCTATTCTTTCGAGATGTGTAGGTGGACAGCTCAAATCCTACTTGAACCTGACAATTGGCGACAATGTGCAATACTCAACTTTGAGGGAACAAGTGTTGCAATAGGATCGTTCTCAGCAGTGGGCTACTTCAATGGCAGCAGACTATCAAGGACCCATGCCTATGGACGTTGATCGAGTTCAAGATGCCAAAGGAAAGGGCAAGAAAGGCAAGAATGATTAGCAGAAGGGCAAAGGTAAGAATACCAAGGGCAAAGGAAAGAAAGGAAAAGAACAACAGAAAGGAAAGGAAGGTGGTCACAAGGGTAAAGGTAAGGGCAAAGACCAGAAAGGAAAAGGCGTGGCAGCATGTTACACTATGTTACACTTGTGGGAAGCCCGGACATCTTGCTCGAGACTGTGGGAGAAACAATATTCGACAGGTTGCAAGTGATACAGCCCATTCATCTTCTGGAGGAGCTTCAGCGACTACTCATACAGTTGGTCAACAACCAGACAATGTGAGTCAGCAGAGTAGCTCTGCAGATACAAAACCAGTGGTCAGAAGGATTGAGAACTGTGAGCCAATCATCTTTGACCTACGAGAGAGGCATGATGATGCAGAAGATCATGGAATTCGAGTGATTCACTTCTACATTGGAGATGACGATGAGGCATGGAAGGAAGATTGTGAAGAAATGGAAGGTGAGAGACCCGAGCTGAGGAGACTTGGAGAAGAAATAGATATGATGTGGCCATCGTTATCGACAGTGGAGCTGATGTAGCCCAATTCCCTTTGAATATGGCAGGTCATAGGGAAGGAGAGCTAGAGTTCAAGTCAGCGACCAAGCTACAAGCTGCCCAGGGGAATAAATTGTATCCCCGCCGGGGGGGGGCGAAAAGTGTTGAAATCTCCTTGCGTGACATTGATGGACGTGAAGTTCTTCTCAAAGAGAATGTAGTCTTCAGTTCAAAGGTAAATCAGCCCATACTTTCCTATGGAAGACTGATGGAGCACCGTTGGGGAATCAATGGTCGAGGGCAAACATTGGAGAATGGTGACTTGGAGGTACCACTCAACTTGCAAAATCGCTCTTTGACAGTGCAAGGCCGCATTAGAGTCATTCGAGATGAAGATGAAAGCTGCTTGGAGGCGCAAGTGCGAGAAGCTTTGGAAAAGGCAGCAGGTTGTAAGTTCAAAGAACATGGCTTGCCCGTTGGAAGCTTATTTACTTCAAATTTTGTTGGTCTCACGTTCATTCCAGAAGTGGAAGATTCACCAGAGCTGGTGAGAACCGCTTTGGTGAAAAGAGGGGGTAGATGGCTTATGCCTGAATTTTGTGAAAGTGTGATGGAAAAGGAGGAACTTGACGATCAATTCTTTGATCATAATGCAGTCATTCCTTCAATCACAATCTTCAGCTACGAGCCAGTGCCACCAGAACATATATGGGATTCTTTGCGCCAGGATACAAGAAGCTTGAGAACATAGATGAGAGAAAGAAAGAGGTGGAGAAGGCAATCGAAGAGATTATCCCTACTCCGGAGAAGGAGGTAGAAGATAGGAAAGAAGAGGAGAAGAGAGAAGAGGACTTAGAATGTGAGGTGCAATGGAGCCCAAAGGACGTAGACAAAGTCCTGGTGAATGGAGTAGAGTTGACTAAGGGTTCTACTTTAGCAACATGGAGGGCAGCATGCTAATTTCTCGGCATAGCGGCTCCTCAATCGCAACAAGAAGATTGAACTTTTGAATGCTCAAAAGCTTGGTGAGTGAAGCAAAAGCGCAAGAGACTAGGACAAAGTGTGGCTAAGATGCCAGATGAGGCCACTCAGGGGAGACACAGATTGACACATCTACCATGTGCAAATTGGCGCAAGGAGTGCACTGAGCATCGAGCACGTCCAGATCGCCGCGACAGAACCGATGGAAGTCAGCAAGAGCAGTGTGTTGGCTAGCTGCAATCGATAGCCAGACTGGATACATTCATGTTGCGCCATTAGGAAGCAAGCAAGAATCAATTTCGACTCACTGCGCAGGAGTTGATGAATTCCAGTCACACGTTGGGGTATTCAGCAATTACCTATGAGAGTGGCAATGAACCCACAACAAGGCAAATCCTAAACATGCTGGTCAATGCTTGTCACAGTTTAGGACTTACAACAAGATTGAACCCTTCAAAATGGGGAAATCACTCATTTCTGTCAAAGAACACAGGGTGAGGAAGCTTGCAGGAAGTTTCATTGAAGGCTTGCAATCAAAGCTCGGCATCAAGATAGGATCAGATCATGCACTTCGGACTTGGGCAGCAAGACACGCCAGTTGGGTGTTGAAACGATTTCAACCCGTCAAAGGTGCCACTCCATATGAGCTCAGTCTTTGGCAAGAGTTACAAAGGACTTTTAGCTGAGTATGGTGAACCAGTTCATGGTTACAACAGGAGCCTCAACAAAGAAGAAGCTCGATGGCGTCTAAGCTTATTCAAAATGCATCAGGAGAACAGATCAACATTGGTCCGAGGCCAAATACTTGGCAATCTACAAAAGCTTCAATGCCTTTTCATGGGAGTACCAGACAAACTTTTGGAGGCAGAATTATTGACACAAAGAGAAGAGCAGAAGCATTGCCAGTGGCGCAGACAGAGATTCCTCAAGCATTTGATGTTGAAGTTCAGAGATGAAGATACTGAAGCAGTGATGACAAAAGTTCTTGAAGAAGGAAGTGATTCAGAAGGAGAACAAGCATTATTTCCAGGGCCAACACCGGTTCCAGAGATGGAAATGAAACTAGAAAGCCAAGTGGAGAAGAAACCTCAAGTAAGAAGCATAAAGTTCTCTTTGCAGATGAGATTTATGAATCATTATGACCTGATTGGCGTCTTTGTGGTCTGCCAAAAACAGGTGTCTAGGCACGCAAGTTCTCAAGGTGAACCTTTATTTTGGTTACCATTGAACTTGCTTTGTGCAGCATTCTTGATGGTCGCCGAGCTGATCCAGCTTCTGTCAGGTGATGCTCTTGAAAGTTGCTGGGCAATTGTTACGCAGCATGCCTGCTGCAGGCGCGCAGGATGCAATGAGTCCCAAGTGCCACTGGCCCCAACACGACAAGCAGACTACTTGGGCTTCATTGGTTAAACGCCGGCTTGCTTCGCATTAGCCAAGTCACCGCAGATTTGTCAAGGAATACTCGAATTGGATTCATTTCCATCCTCCTCGGAGGTCACTTCATCCAACCTACTCCCCATAGTCCTCCTTCGGTCTGGCGTGCATGGGGCCAGCGATGCAAGTGCAGGTGAGGCCGGGAGCTACTTGGAGGCTGGCTCTCCAACCAGCTGGAAGCGGCCAAGGAGGGCGTACGGTGGTTCCGGCTTCAATTTCTCCCTGAACGGCGCCCGGTTGCCAATACGGGCGCTAACATCCCCGCGCCCTGGAGATGTTGGGATCCTTGCTACTTGCGTCCTTCTTAATGGCCAAAGGTGAACGGAGTCGACTACCAACTCTGGATTCCCTTGATGTCTGATGAGCAAGGCAACGTCCTCGCGATGCGGAACCAGACCACTTTAGGAAGATGCCCAGCAGCTATCCTCACGCAACTTATTCTCTCACACACACACCAAGGAGCAAATAGCCCTTCGAATCCCTCGCGCTTCGACGCCGACGCGTTGGGTTTTCCAGGAGCTCTATTTTCAACCATCGCCCTCTTAGACAGTTCCGGGGGGGGGACAGGCGCCTGTGGCCTTGAAACCTCTTCTAGGCTGGTTAAGGGGATGGCTCTCGCTGCGATTATGCTGGCAATGGTGCCTGCGGCAGCGTCTTTGTCCTACGACTCGATTCTCCACTTTGTGATCTAGCTTTGAGTAGCGTTCCTTTTCCATAACGACGCCCATTGGACGCGTTTCAGGGTGCAAGCTGTCCAATTTGCTGTTGGCGGTGGCGTTCTGGGTGCCATCCCAGTCCTGCTTTTCATTTTGGCACTTGGATTCGACTCAGGAGATATCAAACCAACATGCAAAAGTGCCCGCTGCGCCTGCACTTGTTCGTTGTTTTTTGGACTTGATCCTTGAAGAAACTCTATGACTCTATGTTAAACACTGACAGCCAAAGACAGATCATCTAAGTGGGATCTGTGGACCATGTTTGCTAGTCCATCGTGGGGCGCGATGACCCACATGTGTCACATGCTGCACCTGCCGTGAAAAGCCTTTGTTTTGAGGACGAATGCACTTCATTTGACATCGCCTTGGAAGTGGGCAAGAAGATTGAGCGCCTACAGGTAGCAGAGTGCCAAGCATCAAGTGACGAAGATAAGAGGCTTGTTTCAACACATGGGAGCGGTCACCAAACAATTCTATTAGGCGCATCGATATAATGAAATGTTTTTTTGGGGTCAGACATCCATGAAGCGCAGGAAAGGTTCATCTGTCGGGGTGCCATCACCCGCTTCCAACATTGTTCTGAGGATACCAAGAAACATAAGGGGGTTCCTTCCCAAGTGGCGGTTCAATTGGGAATGTGCCGGTGTTGTGGATAGATTCGCCAGGGGTTTCACATTGCATGTTGCTTCAGAGTTGTGAAGCCACTAGCCAATCATGTCGTGTTCCCACTGCCTGTTTCCTTGTAACATGGCACGGTTTGCATGGGTTTTGCCAGGGGTTCTTGAAAGTCCTAGTTTTTGATACCTTGCCCGTTGACACCTCACGCGTTAAGTCACCATGTGTTTGGGGTTGGAACAAGGTCCAAGCAGGAGACGCGCCCATTGTTTTTTGAACAAATAAGTTGTCCACAACTTTACTACTACAATTTTTGCACCCGATTGCGTGAAAACATTGTTGATGTCAGAGTGGCAAGCAGTGACAGCAGTCCAACAATCCACAGCCTTGCAACACCTATAGCATCAACGCACTGCACAACACGGCCCTTGTCAGCAAGACCCAGGGCCTGCTCTAAGTCCTGTCCTCCATCGCCTGCCCCCCTTGTCAGCGCTTGGTGCAGCTGGTCTTGCCAAATTCCAGCTAAATACCACGGATGGCCTGTAGTTCAAGTCTTGTAGCACTTGGATTGAACCAAGACCCATGCACTGGAATCCTGATGTCGTTGCTCTCCAAATTCCGACCCGGTCTGTCACAGTCAGTTTGGATTTTGGAGGTTGTTTTTAAATAGGAATTCCACAGTGTCTTACAATGAGAAGCAGCTGCAACAACTGAAGCAACGCACAGGTTTCTCCCCTTGGCACAGGCCTTTCAGGAAGAATCCTCGTTCAACGACCGATTCAGGTGCCCTGAGAATCGATGTCGCCTGCAACTAGGACCGGGTCAACACTCAAAGTCCTTGGTGTTTGCTGTAAGTGCCTCCCGAAAGCATCGGTCAACTTGCAGTTTCTTCTGCAAATCTGCAAGTGTCCTCTGGCCAGACTGGCCCCACATGCCGATTTTCTGGAAGCAAAGGTGCCAGCCAGAGGTGCCGATGGGCCCACATGGCTGGAAGCAGTCCGCTCTGAGCCATCATTGAGTCTCTAAAGGTCGCCATGCACCTGGCGGTCTGGCGCTGGTACCACCTTGGTCGCAGAGGTGGAAAAGAGTTGGGCCTTTTGGTATGGTCAAGGCAAAGAAAGCTGGTGTGGAGGATAAGATGACAAAGCACATACTTGCCTGGGATGGTGGTGGGTCAGCCATTCGCGAAGCGATTGTCGGATCCGCCCCATGCAACTGAAGACCGTCACCTCTAGGATGTCTAGCTCCCCTCCTGCACAGTTCTCGCTCGTTTGCACTTGATCCAAGGGAGCAAGATCAGAAAGGTTAAGCTCACAGGTGTTCAGGCCAGGTCGAGCTGTGTCCAGGTGGGGGACGCAAAAAGTGCAATTGTTTCCTGCAGGGCTGCACCAGAGTTTAAAAACAAAAAACAAACGTATGTTTTTTGTCTTCCACGGGCAAAGCCGCCAATCCCATCTGCAAAGTTCTTAAGCCCACAAGTATTCGATTTGATTGGGAGCGCTCTTCTCAAGCACCATGTCCCAGGGTGAGCTTGGAGGCTACAATGGTGCCAGGGGATAGATCTAAATCCTCATGTTGGGAAAGCTTGGACTTTTGAGCGGTTTTGTTGTACTTTGAGCATTTTTGAGCATGACGAGGAAAAAGATCTTTACATACATCATTGACACCTTGGGCAGTTTGGAGAACATGGATGTGCGGATCAGATATTCGATGGGAGAGATGCTGAAGAGGAACTTGGCAAATGCTGGAAGTGCGACTGATAGCCTGCTGCGCAGGCTAGGGCTAGGTCAAAACTAATTCGATGCAGTTGAATTATCAATAGTTACAGTACCTCGAACCTCCATGCCGCAAAAAAAAAAGTAACAAAGGTTTTTTGATGAAAAAAAAGTAACAAGCAAGAAAAAAAGTAGCATTTCAAGAAAAAAGTAACAAAGCAGTCAGAGTGAAAACTGGAAGTCCGGGAAAGAGATGCCGAATGCCATTTTCCCACATGATCAGGCTTTCTTTCGCAAGTGTTTCTTGACTCTGGTGAGTCGAGCCTTGAACCCCAAACCATATCGTTGCAGGGTCCTTTGTGTGCACAGTCGGCTAGAGACTCGCCTTGAAATCCTCGAAATCCTTCCAATAAAATCTTCATTGACTTCACAATTGAAGGTAACAGGGTTGAGGATAAACTCATCTCCCTGGTCTATATGTTGTTTTGTTTCGAAGACAGTCTCGGCCAGGCTATGAAACTTGGGTCTCATTCCAAAATATGGTTTCCCCAACTCCAAAGCAAATTGGGCAGCATAGTTGTACGCTCGAAGGGCCACAAGGCCTTCTAAGTACATAAACTCTGCACACTTCGAAGGGAGCCACAGGTCGTGACTGTACTGCACGCTGATGAAATTCAAAATGCTTTCCGTCAGCTGCAATACTACCCTCAAGATCGGTTGGTGATCAGGTGCTTTGATCCCCTTCAAGCACAAAAGGAGATACCACTGCAAAAACATCAGGACCATGGTGCAGTCAGAGCCTTTCCCTCCGAGATAAGGAAATGGAGAACCAGTGACATGTAGATTTGCTTTGGTGAAATGCTTCAAAGACGTTGTTTTGTGCTCCGCTGCGCACCACATCTTAAACATCATGAAAGACCGAGACAATCTGTCAGGGAGATTCCGAGTGTCCCCTTCCCAATCAAAATATGTCAAGTGACATAGGAGTAGCAGGACCGAGGCACATATCTCCCTTCCAAAACCATGTTTCACAACATGGAACATGTCCCTCCTGTACAGGCTCGCGGGGAAAGAATCACTGAAGGGTATGATGCTCAATGGTGGAGGCATCGATGCCTCCCAAGGCACAGAAGCTCCAACCTGATGTATGCCATCACCCCAGAAGATTATAAGCATAAATATACAGTATAGTTCCCGAGTAGATGGTGCAAACTCAAGATGTCCTTTAGATGGGGGTTCATACAAAGCACCTCTCAGGGATTGCGCCATCTACTCTGAAACTACTGTAGTATAAAGTAGAACGTTTACCCATGGGGTCTAGTTCAACCATAGTTACTTGTCATTTGTTCTCGGACAAGTAACACTGGGAAGCCAGCACGGAGAATCGCTTACATCCCCAAAGTTGGATGTGTGGGCATCACAGTATGGGCACATAGGATTGTCATTCACCTCTCCGACAGTCATATAGCTGCGCAGGAACTCACCAGCATGGACATGAAACTCAGCATCTCCCTTGCACCCTATCAGAGCAAAGAAGAAGTTCTGGTCATCCACACACACGCCATCTTGAAACAGAGACTGGAAGCAGTTGGCAATGTCCTTCAGAACTGCAGGAAGAATGTCAGAGTTGTCTGAGAACACAGCCCACGGCACCGCTGTAATTAAGAATCGAGATAGAAAGGAGTGGCCTCACATGCACAAACCCTGGACACGGATAAACCGATGAAAACCCCTGGAACAGGAGAGGCTTTATAATAGCAATTGCGACTTTCGCAACCCGATAAAGGTGGATGTTGCTTGAACAGAAGCCCAACCACCTGTCAAACGGCACCCCAACAACCACTCATTAGCACACCACAAAAAAAACTTCGATCAACAAGACTATAGAGTTGCCCAATGTGTTGTGCATTTGCACGTCGCCCATGGAAGCACGTTTGCGGCGAAGCTCCACAGTGCAGGCCCCATCCAAGTCCAGGGGGGGTCGGCACACAGACAGATTGGACCTTCGCTCTCCACATGTTTGAGCTAGGTGGCCCTCCTCATATCTGACATTTTTCTCTATGGGTTCCAGCGCGCTTTCTCGCAAATCTTTGGGTAAGCCAAACACAGCCTCAAAGGAGTAGACTGCAATTGGTGACTTCTTCAATGTTCTCCCATTGTCCCCATGCATGCAGAGGGGGATTACCCTCCCAAGTGAGTCATCACCAAAACGCTGGAAAACTGCATGGTCCGGTTGGGTGCAGCGATAGCGCTGCCAAAAGGTTTGGCAACGTTGGGCAGCCGCAGGGCCTAAAGCATCACCCCCCAGCAACACCTCAGGGTGATTCTTCAAGAGGAAGGTCACCATGTCCCTTACCTACCAGGGTTTGATGGTCCAAGTCCAAGTTCCGCAAAAAACAAGCTTTTACTTCGAGCCAGCCTCACCCGTTTAGAAGGCACATGTATTGACAGCTAGACTAACCCAACATGATTTAGCAAACCGTCACCTTATAGCATGGGATGCTGGTGTGCAGGCCGCCATCTTGGGGGGGGAACTTCAACGTCGCTGATCGGCACACGTAGTGACAACCAATACCTCCGAAAAAGGGCATGGGCATCTCGTTCACTATTTTTGGGGTTGCACTTGGAAGCCGCATGCATCGCATCATTCTGCGAGCCATCCGCTATGCAGGCCCTGGCCACCACGCCCAGCCGCTGAGCAGGAGCCTGGGTCGGGTGAAGTGTGAACCAAATGTGAGACACAGGACACCCTCTCAGTTGACTAAGATGATGCACTGGCAGGTCAGCAATGCACCAAAGGTTTTTATATATAAGACTCCCACACCCTCACCCACATCTTCGGCTAGAGCTCGCAGAGCATGGGTTCGGAGGGTTTCTTCACCTGGCTGAGATTGGGGCAGTGAAATCAAAACCTGTTTGTGATGCCATGCAATTTGGAGCGAAGTCAGAAATGCAAAAGCAACGCATGGATTTTCACCACTTGCCGGCTTCAGCTCCACATAGGGTCAGTTGCCCTGATGCTGTTCTCATTTCGTTCTCCTAGATTTGCGGCTTGTTGTAGGTTTCTCCGGTTCTTCTTCCTGCTCTGGTGCTGGTCTCCCTTTTGCTTTTGCTTTAGTTTTAGCCTTGCCCTTGCCTTTCGGCCTTGCAGGCTCACCTCCGGATGACTTTGGGGTTTTGGGAATCACAGTCCTGTTGCAACGAGAGTTCCTCTGACTTGAAACAGTTCCTGACTGAAGATTCAGAACCTTTAAACCCAGTCCTGGCTCGCTGTTCCAAACTCCATGAATGGAGGAGCCTTGGGAAGAGAGGAGCCGCAAGTCCAACCAGGCACTGCAGGGTAGAGGTGAGAAGCTTTGGGGGCAGGACAATGTTCGACCCTCCTCCATCATGGAATCCAATTCCTCTTCTTGCCTTGGTGTGTTGAGGCCCCTGAGCTTGATAGGGAATCATGAAGCATATCGGCGGTGTTTTTAGGGGCCCTGAGTTTCTTGCTTCTTTGTAAAACCATCCAAGAGGGTGTTGTTTTGAAGCAGATTCAATTTATCACAGAGCTTGTCCATCTTGCCGTACATCTCCTCAACCTTCTCCTTCATCCTTACAACAACGTCACACCACAGGCACTCCAAAATATGCAGCCCAAAACTTGAAACGTACCCCATGGTGCCAATCGCAGCCATGCAAACAAGACTCTTCGAGACAATGGTTGAGCTCGAGTTCGCAGCGGTCATCTCTTTTTTACACTCGTCTAGTTTTGCTAGCCGTTTGGTCAAGCTTTGCACAACTTTGGGCAACAAGGTAGATCGTTTTTCAGCCTTTTCCGTGTCTGGGAATCCCATGCGCTTGAGAGTTTTCAAGTTCTCAACAATTGATTGCGGCAGCGAACCGCCGCCGCCATCACCAGGATTCTCACCAGCAATGCCTGGCAGAGCGCAGACTCATGGAGGCCCGCAACGATGGTGATGTGTTTTTGAGGAAGGTATCCTGAGTTCATGATCCTGTCATTTGATGGTTGAGTTGACAAAAAAGAAGGCCTTGCAATGGTGCTTGAAAATCCATTTCCATGGCAATGCCATCCGTTTCAGTGGCATAGTCTTGCTGCTCTGAATAGGAAGCTGTGGCACGCTCCCTGGGCTCCAAATCTCAAAAGAATCCCTTGTTTAAGAATAACTAGATGGCCCATTACTTTTAGATCATATATTCGTTCATGAGCTGAGGTATAGGGCTTAGAGTGGCCACTGACTTCTGTCTCCACGTAGTATGCCCATGCATCTTTCTGGTGATTCCACCTGGAAGCTTCCAGAAAGAAAAAGTGCGCACACATGCAAATAAAGCTTGAGTCCTACACCTCATATACTTCTTCGGGTTGGCCTTTGCCATGGCAATGATGTTCTTTCTCTCCTTCCTTGGCATCGGGGTTGATCTAGTATATATATATATATATTATATTGTAATACTAAAACAGGAGTTGCAGAAAGAACTGACAGAAGATGACAAAAGGCAACTCAAACCAACATATCGCTGAAAAGGTTCTCCGGTTTCTCTTTGAAATCCTCTTCCACCAGGAACTTAAAGAACACCCCAACTTCAACTTCCTTTTCTTTCTGGCTCTTGACGGAGTGCTGTTTCATGAATTTCTTAGGATCGTTGTCACATTTTGCAAAAAGCCTCAAAACTTCATCTTTTTGACCCTCATCCCACAACTTCCGGACATCTTCAGCAACCTTATACTCCCCCTTGGCATTCGGTGCCAGCAGCCGACGCAGTCTGCGGTCAAGCGCTCCAGCGCTAGGACCCTGTTTTTCCTCCTCATCTTCCCAGGGCATCCGAGGTGGGGTTGCAAACGGTGGGAGATCGGTGTGTTCGGGTGAATCAAACAATCTCTTTGGTGATGGTTCCTCCACATAGGTGTCCACACGTGTGCTCCCAGCCTCCAGACCACTGGCACTTTCCAGCCCGAGCTGATTGTCTGGTGGAGCCGGTGACAGAACTGGCTCCCCTGGCCAGTGCATAGCACATGTATAGAGAAGAGTGCCTTCACCCCCAGCCTCGCGGTTGTGACTCCTCCACCTCAATGACCTG